TTTGTTGTCTATACAGTGTCGCTGAGTGTCGGTCAGTTTATTATTGATACCCGATTGATAAAAATCTTAACGACTTTGTTAAAGTATTTATCCCAGTTTCACACAGACTTCTCCATAAGAATCATGTCTATGACATATGAGGGTAGCTATTAAACTGGAGTACTGGTTGGCGAGCTGATAGACAACAATGAGTAGTAATTGGAGAATAAACGCCTGATTTGAGAAAAAAAAGTAGTGGCGTCCCTGAAGGATCAGTTCTTGCATCACTCCTATCGTGTTCTTTGTCATAATAATATAGATAAATAACAATTAGAAATAAAAACACGATTAACAAATACATGGTTAAACGACTTAGCAATTAAAGATTCATTAATAATTTTGCAGTCTTTCATAATGAGGTTTTTCCAAAGACTATTATAATTTGTACTTTTTTACCAATAAATAAAAATTGGCATAATTAAAAACGTCATATATGACGTTTTAGTTAAGCGCCATGTTTTTTGTTAATTATTTTTTATATTTTATTAATTCGTTAAAGTACAACTTTTTTGAAAACTTTATAATTGATTCAAAAATTCGTTTGTAGCTAGTAATTCGATTCATTTTTAAAAGTTTTTTTTATTCACATAGTTTTTTAATTACATTTTAATTACATACATTATTTACATATTTACATTGAGGCGTTGTAATTTTGTTTTGATGATTTTATGATACCCAAGGATTTTAAAATGTTTTTTCTTTAACAATTTTTATAATTTTTTAAAGTGCTTTATTATAGTGGTTTTGAAAAATCTCATGGGAACTGTTATAAGCTATATCAGTAATTTTAGTTTTCATGACAGGTTCCCAATCTGTGGAAGATGAAGGCTTTTAAAATGAACAAAGTAGGGTTTCCAATCGGTTTTAACCATAACCGAAAACCACGGGTTTTCTGTCAAAACCGACATAAATGAAAACCTTCGGTTTTCAAAAACGGTTTCGGCGGGTTTTTGTATAATGGTATATAAAAATACAAGGTATAAAAAAAATCTGTAAGTTTAAAAAATTTGTAAGTTTTGTAAAAAATTTTATTTTATTATTTAGATTGTATTTTGTTGGAAAGCTTAAAATGTCTTTTCATTTTCAAAATTATTAAAGTATCCCAAAAAAATGTTCAAATATTGAATATAACACGCAAATATATTCGAATATAAAGTATTCGGATACTCAAATAGGATAGTCTATTTTTATATCAAAGATTTTTATTCCTTAAAAAAACATACAGGTATGTTTAATTCCGGTGGATCCACAACTACTTTGCGGAATCATATTTTGCGTCATGGAATTACTATCAATAGTCCTTTGAGTGGAGAACCAAGCAGCAGCTCAAACCCACCACTGGAAAAAAAAATTAAAACTATGGACAGTTATTTACAAAAAGCGAGCCTTCAAGAAATTGTAGCTGATCTAGCTACAGACGGTGTTTTGATTAATATGATTACTAACAACAAATTTATTCGTTCATCAATTCAACAAAGAGAAAACCATCTTCCTAAAAGTCAAACAACTGTGATTTAATTCATCAAGATTTTTCTGATAAAAAGGAATTGATGAAACAAAAAATTATCGAAAAAGTTTAAATAGGACATAAGTTTAGCGTAAAGCACGATGAATACACATCTTTGAGGAACAGAAGGTAAATTGGTGTCAACCTGCATGAAAGCGACTTTTAAAAAACCTATAAAACTGGCCTCATTAGAATTTATGGTTCATGCCCAGCTGAAAATTTAATACAAAATATTAAGGATAATTTAAATTCACTTGGTGTCTGTATGGAAAGAGATGTAATAGGTTCTACTCAGGATTGTGCATCAATTAACAAAAAGCTCATGCAATTTAGTGACATTGTTTATCACTTTTGCTTTAATTATGCAATTTATCTTCATATATTCGACAAATTATACAAGAAAAATAGACACAAACGTACCCATTCCCAAGGAAACAGACAGTGATTCAGAAGAGGATGAACATGGAACTTACTATGATAATTTTAGTTTTGAATCAGTAAACAATGAGATTAATGTTGACTAGCCTGAAATTTTGATGAATGCGCGAAAAGTAGTGAAACTCAAAAAAATGTCATCAGTTCGTATTCAAATTTTTCAGAGGAAAGTTACTGAGGAATTTAATAAAGAAATTGAACTGCATCTCTATGTTATTGTTAGATTTCACTTTCTTCAATGACCGGGTCTCTGTTAAAAACTAAGAAATGTTTATTCCAGATATTTACTGAATGAAAAGCTCTTGATGTAATCAACAAGCTAGATTTTGAGTCATTAGCTGTATAAGATAACGATTCAATTACATGCCGCTTAAGAGCCAGCAAAACTAGCAGTGAAGTTTCTTATCAGAGAAGATGCAACGTTATCGACAACAGATACTGTTTTTAAATCCATGCTACAAAACTATTTGTTATGAATATAGAAATCGCATCTTTATTGCATTCAAGTTTAAAAAAGCGTGTCGATGAAATAATTAACGGAAATGTTATGCAGTTGTTAAGGTGCCAAAAAGATCTTTCAGCTGTTCTATTAAAAAATATTTTAAATTTTGCTGGATAACTTGCGTTTAGGCTTTTTGGTTATTCTTAAGGATGAGTTATACGCACTTCTCAATAAAGATAGCATCACACACTTGCCTATATCTACTGATCAATTCAAACAGCTTACGCAAGAGATATTGTTGTACCGAAATACGGGCAAAAGAGCAGAAAATATTAAAAAAAATGACAATACGATACTCTCGATAAAACCCACATAAACAGATGTTGAACGTATTTTTTTAAGCTGCACTAGTTTCTGCACAAAAATCAGATCACGTGATTATCTGATGAAACGTTAAAATCTTTCGTGTTCTTAAAATTTTATTACAATAAAAATAACTCATTGTAATTTTTATTTCGAAATATAAACATGTTAGAACACTTTGTTTAAATAACTTTTTTAATAAATAATGCAAGATAAACTTACATAAGTTTTATTATTTAACAAAAAAAACCCGAAAAATATGATAATAAATTTCAATTTATATGACAACTAATTAAAAATTAAACGATAAAATCTATGATTACGATACAAAAAAACAAAATTTTCTCCAAAGTAATTCGCACTTAAGAAAATTCATGCTACTGAACACGTCAATGAAATAACCGATGGTTTTGACAATAACTCTTGAAGCGTTTATTGTTTTGTCTGAGAAATTTGAGTTAGTTGATCACTTTATTTTTCTGGAAAAGTTAAAACTTTACTAGGAATTCATTACTATTATTGGATTAACATCTCACTAACAGAAAGCATTATGTAATAAGAAATTATATAATTAAATATTCTGTTTGGCTTCAAAGATTGATTTTATGCTCACTCTAACTTTTAATTTATAGAAAAATTTTAATTACGCATTAGTAAAACTTAAATTCTACCATATTTGCAAACGACAAGTATTGTTTTTTTTTAAAATCTAATAGCACTATAGATAGACCGCACGCGGATATGAATATTGAATTAATAAAATTAAATAATTGGTTTAGGTTTGACAAACTTTCTCTAAACTCGTGAAAGATTTTTAGGAGTTCTTGCTGATGAAGATTTATTATGGCTTTCACACATAAGACACATGTCCATATTTGACAGTTTCAAGAAAACAGGTTTTCAAAGTTTGAGATCCTCAATTAATTAACTAATTACAAATTATTACATTTACATTTTATACAATTAACCGTGTCACATGATAGAGCCGAAAATATTTATCCTCGAAAATATCACCGAAATATTTCACAACCGAAAATTTTAGAACCGGAAAGTATACTTTCATTGCAGGATCGAATTACAAAATCCTTTCTTGCGCCGAAAGTTTTTAAACCGAATTTTACAACCGAAAAAATTTGGATCGAATTACAAAATCCTTTCTTTTTCACCTAACTTCAAATAGCCTGCTGCTGGGGGCTTCAGTACATACATCGACTGACAAATAGCCTGACTCGCAGTGGAGTGCTGCTACATCGACTGAGGGTTTGGTATGGGTCAGCAACCCTTTCATTCATTATTCTTCGTTTTCCCTCATCGTTTTCTAAAATATACAATGTTTGATAACAGTGTAACTTTCGGTTGTAAACCATTTTAATGAAATTCGGTTCTAAAATCATTAATGACTTTCGATCGAAATTTTTTCGGTTCTAAAATCATTAATGACTTTCGATCGAAAATTCGATTGAAATTTTTTCGGTTCTAATTTTTTTCGTAAATATTTTCGGTTGTGTAATAAATTTCTCATATTCGGTTCTAAATTGAAATTAGAGATTCGGTTGAATCATAGGACGCCCAATTAACAATACAAATTATTACATATTACAATTTAATAGGCATCAGCGTATTATGTTGATTGCTTATTTGCATTTATTTCACGCTTTTCAATGTTATCTTTTTAATATTTTTTTCGTTGTAATAGTTTTCATTTATTATAGCTAAATATAATAAAAAAACTTAATTTCCTGATATATACTAATTAATTTACTTATGTCTATTAAAATTTAGTAGAAATTTACCCCCAGGTTTTAGTTGTTATCACAATAAGAATAAAAAACCCCTCCCGAATTCGCTCGATGATACTAATCAACAATATTGATTTTAGTATGTATCAGAAATATTCATATTGAAATCTAAACCAAAGTTGTTGCAATTGATTCGTTGCATTTTCCGAAATATTTTTCAGGGCATACGAATAATAAACAAACAAAATTTGTTTTTATCTAAAATTGAAATTGATCAACTGTTTTAATGACAACCAAAATTTTTTTATACATTTTTGAAATCATTTTATTAAAGTAAAAAATAAAAAGAGTAAAATCAAAAATGTTTGTGGGCGAGGCAAGCTAAGCAAGTCTAAAAAAAAAAAAAAGATACTCTTTGCTTCTTTCAGGTTTCGCATACTTTAGTGAAATTATACTTTTGAGAAAAATGAATAAATTAAATAGATATGAAAAACATTTCCCAACAAATTACACTGCTTTTTAAAATACAAAATCGTTTATAAGAGAACAAAAGTACTTTTGTTTTAAAGACAGAATATTTATATATGCGAAATATAGAAATATCTTTTTATCCGCTGCTGAACTTTAATTTTTTTGATAGTGGTTCTTTGCTAGAATCCTTAGGCATTTCTTCCACCATAAGAATTCCTTTAAATGTATATTTTCGCGAAAAAGCATGGGATATAGCAATATGTGCGTTTTTACGAACGCTATTTAAGCAATGAGCTCCTTTCAAATCAAATAAATTTGCAATATTTGCAACGTCATGTGGCGATCGAAAGTCCATTCTTGTACTACCCCCACTACATAACACAATTCCTCTCGCGTGTTTAGTTTTTTGCACTAATTGTTTACCATTGCTGAAAATACTTTTTCTTAAGGAAACACTCTTAATAGCTGCACTGTAACATATCTCAAATGTCAAATCTCTCGAAGTAGCTAAAGATACAAGATTGTGAGTTGGTTTATATTCTAATTTATTTTCTAATGGTAATGAAATAATATCTACGTCTATTTTGCCATCAACAAGAGCTTTAAACATTTTTTCATTACCAGGTATTACCGATATAATATCAAATGCGTCAAAGAGCTCTTTATAAAAGTCGTTTCGCAACATCGGAATTTGGTCAAAATTTTCTAAAGGAAACGTTAGACGTGAAAGAAGCTTGAAGTCTTTAGGGAGATTAAACTCAGGATCCTGTAATTTATTTATATCATCTGTAAGACGTTGAATTAGATTTTTAATCGAAAATATATCATCATTAACAGTTTCTTTTCGCTTTCGTTTTTCTTCATTATTAATTTTCTTTTTAAGACCATCAAACACATTTTGGATGCGATTTATAGCAACTACGCTGTAACCAAGGGTGATAAGTTGTTTTACATTTAACAAATTTTCTGTATAAGATAAAGATTCGATTACGTTCAAATCGCAAAATCCGTTCATTTTATATAAACTATGAAGAATAACAATATAAGCTAAAAATATTTATATAACTTTTTAAAAAAATAGTGTTCAGGGGCCGATGCAGCATTTTTTGATGTTTGAGCTAACTTCCAGACATGGAGGAAACTCCAAATAATTATACGGTTATACTTATATCAAATAAGGATGCTTTGCAAAAAATTGCTATGATTGGAGCCTGGATACAAAAAAGACTTAAAATTTTAGCTACACCTGCCCCAAAAGTGAGAGCAACAAGTTAATAAAATTTTTTTTTTACTATTCTCAACTAAGTTTATTTTCATCGAAAAATTTTAAAATTCACACAATAATCTCTTAGCGTTAAACAATTAGAGCCTTTTAAAATTTGTAACCCCCTCAAATTGTGTGTGTTGGGGGTGGGGTGGTGGGTAGTCATAATTTTTGAACGCTAAAAAATTATGTGAATTTTAAAATTTGTGCATGAATATATATTTAGTTGAGAATTGTAATAGATTTCATTTTATATAAAATTTTAAATAAAAAGAATAATATAAAATAAAAAAATCCAATTAATTAAAAATTTAAATTAACCAAAATGCAATGAATAAAAAATTTATTAAAATGAAAAAAAAAAAAAATATGCATACAAAAAAACTTTTTATAAAAATTATTTAAAATTATTTTGTAAACCATTTTTATTACTTGACCACTATGTGGTTTAAAATAAAAATATAAAAAAAAAACATAAATTGAATTGCGCATATAATTAGCAATTATTATATCATATATCAAAAAGTGAAATCATTTATTATTCAAAGTTATATTAAATATTGCAAAGTACTACATAAAACAATTTACATTAAACATTTACATAAGATCATACGCAGAAGGAACTTTTATCAAGTTAGTAAAAGTCGATAAAATATTGAAACATTGTGTAAGATGACTGCCAAATGAATCTAAAACTTTTTCATCTTTTTAAAAGAAATTATTTTAGGTAAGTATTCAGCATTTTATTATTAATTGCTAAATTATTGCCTCATTAGTTGCAACAAATAAATGTTGCATTTGCTGCATTAACCAATCATTGCAAATCAATAAAAAAAATTTAACTATCAAATATCTTTATTTATTGGCGACTTTAAAACAACTGTCCTCATTGCAACAAATTATAAGCAAACTAAAAATTGTTAACCATCACATCCTCGTCACAACAATTTGTTTCAATTAATTAAATAAATTAAATTAATAGACAATTGAAAGTAAAGTATTAGAGTATTAAATTAATATCACAAAAATAAATATTTAAATATAACTTTTTTTCTCAAAATTAAGTACCTCGATTACAGATATATCACTAAATATTTAAGGGACAATTATATAAAACGTTTTCTTATGTGGTTAATATATAAGATTCTTTTCTTAGTTTAAGAATCCATAATTTTAAAAGTTTTTATCATAAATTAACCTTAATGCACTAACACTCATTCGTTTAGTTGTATATCACGACTTTATTTTTTTAATTTTTGGCTTATGTTTTTCTAATAGTGATTTAGAGCATGTTTCAATCTCCTCAGCAAGTCCTGGATTTCTGCGCACTAATAACTTTACATCTTCAATATTTATAGTTGTTCTTTTAGCATGCTTGGCAAATGCTTCAAGATCAGTTGCAAATAATTCTACTTCATTTGCAACGGTTTCTGTCAAACAAGCTATAAAAGCTTTAGAATATGTCACATTATGTTCATCAGACTTCATTTCACATATCTTCCCTACAGCATAATGTAGAGCAGCCTTTAATTGTGATTTTTCATTATCTTCATTAGTTTCAGCCATGTTTTAGTATTAATCTGAAAAGGTTTTTAAGCATTACAAAATATTGTTTAGCGCAAAAGCAATAGTACTTAGGTAAATAAATACATTATACAAGTTTTTTTTTTTTAATTTTATATTATTTTGCTTCTTTTGAGATCCAGCTTGACATACTTTAAAAGAACTTTCAACAACCAATACTAAGGATTTGTCAAATGTTCAAGGGCATTTAAACATTTTATAAAGTTATAAAACACAATTAGATGTGGAACCAAATATTCTTTAATATAAATATGTATGTATGAATTTATGTATGTAAGTACGTATAGACTACATATGTACATGTACATTATATATATATATGTATATATATATATATATATATATATATATATATATATATATATATATATATATATATATATATATATATATATATATACATATATATATATACTAGGTTGGTTGAAAAGTTCGCGGAGCGGAAATGAAAAAACAATTTTATGATTCAAAAAATGACTTTATTCTTCAGTATATTCTCCCTTAAGAGCAATACACTTTTTCCAACGATTCTCCAATTCATGTATCCCATCTCTGAAGTGCGATTCCGGAAAGCCTTCAAAATACCCATTTACGGCTGCAATGACTTCTTCATGTGATGAGAAACGCTTTCCACGTAGAAATTTTGAGATGTGGAAAGAGGTGGAAGTCGGACGGAGCCAGATCTGGTGAATAGGGTGGATGTTCCAAGCGTTCGTACTTTAATTTGACCAATTTCGCCTTTGCAACATCGCTGAAGTGAGCAGGTGCGTTGTCCTGGTGATAAATGATTTTTTTATGCAGCAAACCAGGTCTTTTCTCACGAGTTTTTTTATCCAACTGGTCCACAAGATTTTTATAATATTCACCTGTTATCGTTTTACCGGTTTGAAGGTAATCTATTAATAAAATTCCTTTCGCATCCCAAAAAACTGATGCCATAACCTTCTTTGACGATTTTGACGCCTTCACTTGCTTCGGAGCTGAACAACCGGGTTCTGTCCACTCTGCAGTTTGTTGTCGCAGCTTCGGATCATAGTGGTAAACCCAAGTCTCATCCATGGTTACGAATCGACGCACAAAATCTGTTTTATTCTTTTGAAAACGGGCCAAATGTTCTTGAGAAAGTTTTACTCGAGTGCGTTTCTGATCCAGAGTTAGCGAATGCGGCACCCATCTTGCCAACAGCTTTCTCAGACGTAAATCATCGTGCAAGATGTGTAATACCCGTTCATCTGAGATGCCCACAGCCTCAGCAATTTCACGTTTGGTCAATCGTCTATCATCCATAACCATTTCATGCACAGCATTAATCGTTTCTTCAGTAGTAGCACTTTTTGGACGTCCAGAGCGAGGGTCATCTTCAAGGCTTGAACGCCCACGTTGAAACTCCGCAGCCCATTTGCATACTGTTGTTTTTGAAGGAGCATCATCACCCAACACATTTACCATTTCATTATGAATTTCCATGGGCTTTAAACCTTTTTTCACAAAGAATTTTATTACAGCACGATGTTCAATATTTTCCATTTTAAAAAATACTATGACACGTCTAATTTCAATAGCTTGTAAACAAAGACTGAAATGACATATCGACTTGAAATTTTTTATGCGTTCATACGAAGAATGAATACGTTTAATACAGTTATAAATTTGTTTCTACTACTGCAACATAGGTGCCGCTCCGCGAACTTTTCAACCAACCTAGTATATATATATATATATATATATATATATATATATATATATATATATATATATATATATATACATACACATACATACATACATACGTACACAAACATACACCCACACACATGCACACAGAATTAGCATTTGTTAGCAATCCATTCAAAAATAAAATTATAAAATGGGTAAAAAAATCAAGCATAAAAGTTGTTTGTAAAAGACTATTGAAAAGATTTTAAAAAGGAATTAAAAATTATTAAACTTTATACCTCATAGTTTGACCTATTTTCAACTATGTAATTAAAACATAAAAGTCCTTCAAAAAAGATTAAAATGTATTTATACAACAGTGTTGATAATAGAACATGTCTTAATCTCTTCAGAAACACCACACTCTAATACGTTTAATTCCATTGAAACACTGACCGCATTATCTGCATTCATACCTGCTGGTATTTTATCATTACCTAAATCAGATTTGACTTTTGAATCATTCGTAAGTGTTGGATTCTGTAACTTGTTTATGCTAGAAGTATCATTTACTCTTTCTAGTTCAACTATTAATTCACAATGAGGAGTCATTGGAAATAAATCAATGGGTACTGCACGTTTTGTTTTAAATGGTTTTCCAGCACGCCTCTTGCTTTGTTTTTGACATAAGCTAAAAATAAGTTCAGTAAAAAATGTTTTTTTTTGTTGTTTTAAAAGATAAAATAATAAAGTTATTTTAGAAACCAAAATAATTATTTAACTTGAGTTGAATTTACAGGGATTATCCAGGTCAAATTTTAAAAATCAGAAAATATTTTTAAGAAATATCCGGAAATATAAATGCTTTTTGAGTAACTAAGAATATCTTGTGTATTTGAAAATTATTTGTAAGCATGTACAAATAATGTACTCATAGAATAAAGATTATTTGCAAGGGAAAAATGCTTAAATACTTTAATTTTTTAAATAAGTAAAATAGAGGTTTATTTCTGTGGGTGTAACAATGGTAATAATTGAAGTTTTTTTTTTTAAAAAAGTTTTATTTGGAAGTAGTTAAATATTTTTTAACTCTTATAACCTGTATTTCCAGAAAACTATTTGGATATCCAGAAAAACTAAAACTTTGAAGAAATATCCGGAGTTCCAAAAATATCCAGAAAAAGATAAGATTAAAATTAAAAAAAATAATTTAAATTTAACATACAATATTAAGTTGTCTGCAGCTTGTTTTGGACTACAAGAAACAAATATAATCTTTTTGATGGCTGCACAAGATCGAAGGCATTTAAGTACATCTTTGTCTATATAAAGGGCATTATTTATAATTCAAAGTATTTTTTGTCACATTATTTTTCAAAAATTTAATTTTATCAATGTACTCACGCAAGCCTGCCCTTGGAGGGTCAACAATAGCAATAATATTTTTTGCATTAATTCTGTTAATTTCATTATGAAGAACCTTTTCTGCTGCTCCACAAATAAATTTTGCATTTGTAACACCTGAACAAAAAATTGATTACAAACTATATTTAAAAAACTTCAATAAAATTTAATAGATTAAAAAAAAATTATTCTAAATTTAATTTCTTTTCAATTAAAAAATGCATTTCAAAAAATAAACAAACTCAATTTTTTTAAGATAAAGTTAAAAACTACCATTTTAAAATCATGCAACTAAAATGAAGTTAAAAACTTACCATTGGCTGCAGAGTTGAAGTTAGCATCTTGAACAGCTTGAATACAAATTTCAATGCCAACAACTGGTAATCTTTTATTCTAAATAAAAAAGTATACTTTTAAAATAAAGCTTGAGGATTCACATTAGCAAACAAAAAAAAACTTACTTTAGCAATGCATATACCAATAGTTCCTGTACCACAACAAAGGTCTAAAAAATGAAAATTTATAAAACTAGGTTTTTCTCTTCATCCTACTTTCTCTTTTAAATCCAATCTTATTTTATCATATAAAATACATTAAAGTACGAGCTGCAGATATTTTTCAAAAATATTGTTTTTTGAACCACCCATATATATTTTTGAAATTTAATAAAAATTTAACAAGATTTTATGATAATAATTTTTTTTACGATGTTTTTTTATAAAATTAATATTATTTTTGAAATTTTTATATGATTTTGCTTCAATTGAGACCCAACATGACATACTTTTGAAAAGCTTTTTTTTAAATAACAATAGGGGCCTATTTAATGTGTGTGTATATATATATATATATATATATATATATATATATATATATATATATATATATATATATATATATATATATATATATATATATATATATATTCTAACTTTAGATTAGCTATATTGTGGTGTTATTGAGTTTAAATTATTTTGATAACAAAACATTTTTGGAAGACTTTATTTAATTACAAATGTAAAAGGACTGTGAAACAGTAATAATTGTTTTAAAAATATTAATAGTGCAAACATAGTTATTTTAAAAAAATTAATAGTGCAACCATGGCAGCTGTGTATGCAGGTAGGAAGGAAAAATTGTAACTGTGTAACTTAATGAAATAAAATGAATAAAAATTAGTTAAACAAAATCAAATAACAAAAAAATAGTTATACTATGTCTTACTTCCAATTTTTTTTGTCAAATTCAACTTAAAATTATAGTAATAGAATAAAAATTTATGAATAAATGATTGAATAACAAATATAAATGGTATCTCCCTAACAATATTGAAAAGTTAAACAAAGAAGAACAAAAAATATTAAAGAACCCAAAATTATACCAAGAATTAATGCATCATTAAGAGAAGTTTCACACCATTCAGATATTGTCTTGTATAGTATCTCGGCTGCTGGTTTGTTAACTTAAAAAATTTAAACTATTGAATAATATAAAAAATATAAAAAATATAAAAAAAATAAAAAATATATAAAAATTGAGGATCTAAATACCAAGTAAAAAACAAAAATATATAAAATAAATATCTTTTTAAAAAAAATAAAAGAATTAGTAACTGTGTGTATTACTGAACTATCATTACTAAGGTTTTGGAAAACTTTTGTGTACTTAGCCTTGATAAAAATGTCATATAGTATGGGAAATATGTCAATACAATGCAAATTTACTACCCATGAATTAATAAATAATTCAATTTTTTATATGTCCTTCTTTTTCCTGTTCATCAAGCCTCTGTGCGTGATGGGCATGTTGTTATTTACCCTTTGGTAATACACCTTCAAAATTCCCTTAACCGATACTTGACAGTTGTTGTTTAGACACTTTATCTTTCAATTCTACCTATAGATTTCAATTGAAATCAGGGCTATTACCTGACCATTCAAGCACTTTAACTTTGTTGAAGATCAGAAACTTGGTTGCAACTTTGAAAAGGTGGCATAGCGCTTCAAAATGCATGAAATTATTGCAATTATGAATTCTAAATGCAGTAATAAAAAAGTTTGCAGTGACATGCTGGCTCCAAAATACCAATGCATGATTTTTTTAAAAAGCCCTATTTATGAGGGATTTTTATCATATATGCTTGGTTTTAAGGCCCATAAATATATAAAAATATATGTATGCATACATGCATGTATGTATGTATGTATGTATGTATGTATGTATGTATGTATGTATGTATACATATATACATACATATATATATATATATATACATATATATATATATATATATATATATATATATATATATATATACATATATATATATATATATATATATATATATATATATACATATATATATATACATATATAAATACATATATATATATATATATACACACATACATGTATATATACAAATTTATATATATGCAGCATTAGACACACACTGATGACATCATATTAAAAGAGGTAGCTGTGAGTACTTCAGTAATATATCAACTATCTTAAAGCCTGTTGTTGCTAGGAGTGCTGAGAGTTTACGTGCGGCAGCAATCTTTTCTATATTATACTTGGTTTTTTTCTTTTTTTTTCTGAAGAACTAAAGTACATCCTTTTAGAATAAGAGCATAAAAATGATACAAGAAAATTGCATCCTTAGGTATGAATTGTAGTATATATATATATATATATATATATATATATATATATATATATATATATATATATATATATATACATACTATAGCGTATATAGATAATAAATTGTTACTAGTTTTTCCTATCTTAATAGTAAATGATGTTTTCAGAAAAAGAAGAAAAAAATGAAGAATAATGAAAGAAAAGATTGACAACTCAAAGAATTAGATGATGTATGATACTTCTTTGCATATTCTACCTAGATAGTCAGTTGAAGTATATACTGAAGCCCTCACAGCTCCCTATTTCTTATGATTTTATCAAATATATTCCTAAAAAATTAATTGTAACTTATTCATATGGAACTTTTTATTAAAAATCAACACCCAAAAAATTTATTTTTTAAACTTTTTTAAGATTTTAATTTCATCTTTATGTAAATTTTTATCCACATGTAAATTATATTTATTTTATATATTATATATACAAAATAAATACTTATCCCCAACCTTGATTGTATACTTTTTGCTTTAACAAAAAAAAAACATTCTTTTCATTTTATGCATTGACTGCATGATCACCCTGCTACTGGTAAAATATAATCCAGTGTAACCTACTGCATGTCCTACTGCCATGTAGGATTCACTTTCTAAGTAAAGACTGGAAGAAGTGAACTTCCTATTATCAATACTTTCTGTCATCAATACTATCTAATACCTGACATTTCTATAGTGGTATCTAATTTTATCAGTTATATAATTGGAGGTATCTGGAGTGTTAGCTCATCTGTAATTTATTATATATATATGTTTGTGTTTTGTTTGAACCTCCGGCAAGGTGTTGCTACTTGTATGTTTGTGATCTGTCAAAACCTTTGTCAGAATTTTACCCCATGCAAAACTCACCAGACTTGCTTGCTCTTTGTGAGACAAATTTGAATTTGGCTGTTTCTTATTCAGATCTCAGATCTTTGATTTGCAAAGACTTCAATATTCACATGCTTGGCTCGGGCTTACACATTAACTCACATATTTGCTGATTAACCAAGTTTGAATTCTCTGACTTCTTTTTTTATTTTTTTATATATTTTTATATCTTAGGACCTCTTGACTCTATAACCTTTCTTTTTGTTCATTATCGTTCTCATTCTTCTCAAGACTGCACTCTTTTAGATGTAATTTCTGACCAAAACGAGCTCTCAACCCCTCAGCCTAGCTCTTTCTCTTGATCCCTCATTATAGTGGCCTTCTAGGCCGTGGGGAGGTGAATTTTCATTAAAAAAACAAACAAACTATATAACACTTTATCAATAATTTGGATTAAAAAGCAGCAGAAAAGCAAAAAATATGGTTGCTTAGCAATGATTTCCAACAAACTGATGACATTGTTAGAAAAATAAAAACACCTGGTATATTTAACAAAACAACAATATATCAGTAAAAAACTGATTTTTTGAAGAAGAAAAAATATTTTTGAACATCTTAGCAATCTAACATCAGACTATTAAATAATTTTGGTTAGGTGTATGGGTGTAAAAAAAACTTTTATATCTGGGTGTGTGTGAACAATTTCTTGCTGGGAAAAAAAACAATAATTACAATAAAAACATCAAACTGTGCTGTTTTTTTAAAAATTTTATTTATTACTAATTTTTAACTCTTATAAAATAAAAAACAACACCTTTCGTATACTCCTAACACTATGTGATGTCAAAATATAAATATCAACACTTTAATGTCGATGTCAAAAATAAAAATAAAATACAATTACCTTGAAAAAATGCATCAACAGATATCCTAAAGTTTAAACCTAACAAGGATTCAGTGATATGCTAAAAATAAAAACAAATGCATAAAAAATATAATTAAATTAAAAATAGACTTAAAACAATGCACAAACACTAGATGCTGAAAAAGAAATTCAGTACATCAGACAACTCTTTTAATAAAATATTGTGAAAAAAACATTGCATCAAGATGAGGTTTTCAAATTCAACAAATTTAACCACAAGTATTATGTAATATGTTGTAAATTAATCACAAGTATTATGTAATATGTTGTAAATTAATCACTAGTATTATGTAATATGTTGTAAATTAATCACAAATATTATGTAATATGTTGTATTTTAATCACAAGTATTTTGTAATATATTGCACTCTAATCACAAGTGTAATGTAATATGTTGAACTTTTATAATTTGAAATAGTAATCAGCAAAATTTTATATCCAGAAGAATGACCAACCAACGAGTTGAACGCACCTCCAAGGACTAACTCAAATATGTGACATCAACAAGAAGTAATACCTTGCCAATTAATTGTTCAGCTCACTAATTGCAACCAACTTAAATTCAGAGTTATTGGTAGAAGAATTAATTCCTTCACATTTAACTAAGTGTTTGTTATTAATTGTAAAAATCATTTAATGTGCTATTGAAATTTTAAATCAAGTGTTGTTTCGCTTGTAACCTTTACCTTTTTTTCACTCTTTGAGATTTTTGCAGCTTCTCTTTTTTCTACTCAGAGTTTTGATTGCAAATATCTTGCATCAACTTGCATTATTGAACTTGTACCACAACCAACTTCTTGCAGAGCATGAAAAAATGATTAGTCTTCTGCACTTTTTATTAAAACCTCAAAATCAGCATGCAAAATGTCAAATTGAAAACTATTAGGACTTGACAAATACTTTCTTTTTAGCATTTTGTGTAGCTCCACCTCTTCTTACAGTTGTTTTTGTAAATTTCTCAACTTGTTATAAATTTTTTGGATCATTTTCATTTTGTTTATTGTGGCATTATTTCAAAAAACAGAACAGTTTCAATGGTAAAGAGTGAGTTTTCACATACAGTTTAATGATCTTTAACTTGTAAAAAAAATATTTTAATACTGAAAAGTATACTTTTTTGATGATGTCTTCTCTGTGAATAAATCAACGGTAAATCCAACTAGATAAAATATGCATGGGTTTCAAATTTGTCATATTTGACATAACATATAATACACAACATAAATAATGTCAAGACTTTTAATTACAAGAGGGCTCTAATACAAACTAATTTTTTTTTGCATATCAGGATTGTGTTGTCATAAAACACAACTTAATGTTGGAATATTTTAAAGCTATGCAGTAGCTTATACAATCAAAAAGAATATTACTACAATTTGCGGCATTTATTTAAACTATGGATGTAATTAATAAATCTAACCGATTTCTTTATTACATCCATAATCTAATAAGATCTAATAAGAACCTAAGATCTAATAAGTTAAGACTAACCTCAGATCCATAAATTAGCTTAAAAGTGTCAATGTTGTTGTTTCTAAATATAAGTTTTAAATAATTTTTTAAATAAATTATTTTTTTGTCTTTTAAAAACTGAAAATTCTTTTTTTAATATAAACAATAAAATAGCATACTTTTGAGATGAGGATGAAATATAAAGAGATGTAACTTTAACGGAACGAAACTCTCCAGTAAAATGTTTACGTAATTTCAAAATTAACTCATCATATTCTTCCTAAAAAAATTCTTTAGATATAAGTTGAACTTATACAAAAAAAATTCTTTAATAAAAATCTTTTAACTTACTATATACTACTACTATATCTTTATATTATATACAACACAGATATATATTTAAAATAATATTAATATACATTAATATGTTATCAACACATTTTTCAATCTTATACAAACAACACTAGAATAAGATAAGCACATTATAACATCACATTAAAATAGCGATAAACAAAACTTTAGTATAACATTGACTAAGTACATGGATTGTGTTTAAAAAAACATCTTACCTAAACTTGTTACTAAGCAACTATACATGCTACTAAGCAACTATATACGCTACAATATACAATAATACCTATTATACCTTTTTACAAATTGCTTGAGGATTGAGTTGTATTATTGCCATAATGTCACTACTGCTTGAAGTTCGCACAGTTAATTGTTGCCAGAGTCTATTTTAAATAAACATTTTTTTGTTGCAATTAATAGTTTAAAATATAGAATTATATTTAATTTTAAATATAACAAAAAATTTGTATATAAAAACAAGAAATAAAAGACAGCATACCCTACATGAGTTGATACACAAAATGAAGAATATGGTAAAGTTCGTAGAAATTCTGAAAAATCCTTTAAAAAATATGTTAAGATTTCATTAACTTTCAAAATTGTGTAAATATATGTGTGTGTATGTATATATACATATATACATATATATATATATATATATATATATATATATATATATATATATATATATATACACACACACACATATATATATACACATACATATATACACACACACAAATATATATATATATATACAACCCTCGGAATTAGGGTCGGCATTCGGCAATGCCTACCTTAAAGTGTTTGAGCAAAAAATTGCCGACCTAGTTTTTCCTAATTCTGAGGGTTATATATATATATATATATATATATATATATATATATATATATATATATATATATATATATATATATATATATATATATATATATATATATATATATATATATTAATATAAACAGAGTGCTCAATTTTCTTAAAGGGTTATGCATTGATATAAAATAAATAATATGAAAATATTAACTAAAAAATGCACACATAAAAATAACAAGAAAATATTAATAAGAAAATATAAAATTAAAATAAGAAATTTAAAAAAACAACCTGTAATTTAATAAATAAACTAATTTCATGAGTTTTTTTTAATTTCAAATTTTCGTACTTATATTTTCTTATATTGATTTTCTTGTTTTAATTCCTATTTCCACATATTTTAGTATATAGTTCTGCATAATTTAATTTATATAATTTAATTCACATTTTAGTTTATAATTCCGCATAACCGCATAAAATAAAATAATAAATTAGTTGAAAATCACTTGTTCAAATGAAATTTTTTTTTACACAAATTTATTCAAAAAATGTTGCAAAACTTCACTTTTTTTATTTTCAGTTAAAAAATATAATTTTTTTTATGCAATAAAAATCTAAATTTTCAATAAAATGATTATCTTTGAAATTTTTATATAATTTTGCTTTATGTAAGAACCAATTTGACATTCAAGAGTCTAAACTTAGTCTAAACTTATATAGTGCACACGAATGTCAGCAGACATTGTTTTAAAATGTTGTTTTAGGTGCCACCCTGGTGTGTGTATTATTAGGGTGTACCAAACACTTCTGAGATTCAAAATAAGATCTGCCCATATTCTTAAAATAATCTATTGGAGCTCACAAGCAACTTTTAAATTTTTCCAAAATTTAATTTGATTAAGGTGGGCCACCTTATGTCTGAATTTTATGTGTCTCTAAAAAAAAGTTTTTATAAAGCTATGTTGTGTCTTAAAAGAAGCAAAACTATATATAAAAACTATAAAGCAAAACTATATATAAAAAATTATATAACTTATATGAAAAAAAAACTTTTTTTTTTGATAAAATTTTATTACCTAGGGTTTTAAAAGGATGTTGAATTAAATTGAAATATTAACTGAATATAAAAAATCATGAGTTCAAAAAATTAATTTCAAATCCAAGTTGAAAAAATCTATTTTTAGAATCTAAACCCAGATTGAAAATTCTAATATAATTTTTTGTTTGAATAAATAATAAGTAAAATTGTACTTAGTAATTTTAATTTTAAAAATGACCTTTTCTTTTTAGTATTATTTTTATATATTATATAAGTATTTTAGTATTTTTATATATATATATTTTTTTGGGTTTAAATAATAACTATTATAAAATTTTAAATTGTTAAACTTTAAATTTTGAAAAACTTAAAAACTTTTAATTCTTAAACTTCTTTATTATTTTTATTGTCAAAAGATTTGCATTAGGAAAAACTAATTTTAATTTATTTAAAAACACGCTTTTCCATATTGGAAATATATTAAACATATATATTACTCTAAAAGCGAAATTATCTGACCAGATTAAATAAAAAAAACCATAAAAAGCAGGAAAAAATAATATGGAACTTTAATGGTGGTGTTTTTTTTTATAAATATCATGATAAATAATTTGTCTTGGGAACTTGGAGATTCCTTTTTAATGCTTAAAAAAAAATCGCTACTTACTTTTGCAATGGCAATAGCTTCACAGGAACAATTAGCACACTTAGTTGGTTCAACTATTATTAAACTCCCAGCTGCATATAAAAAAAAATATATATATCTATAATATATATATATATAAAAAAATTATATAACTATAATATACTACTAAAATATAATAGCATATTAAAAATTAAGAAATATGTATATAAAAATAAGCAACCTTTATAAGAACCTAATCGAAAGCCAACCATATTATCTGAAAGTAAAAAACAATTTAAAATATTTTAAATAAAAAGATTAATAAGTGAGCAACAAAAAAAAAATTAAAAAAAAAAAAAAAGATCAACTTATGTTAAAACAAACAATGATACATACTAAACAATCTTGAAATAAAAAAAATTATTTAACTATCACTACCTACACCATCAGGACCTTTTCCAATTGTAAATTCAACTTTGTTACGATAATGTGATGTTACGGGCTACAAATTATAAGCTTTAAAATAAGAAAATTTTAAAAAAAAAATTTGCTTTTAATTTTTTAAACCTTATTTTTTTATCTTTTCATGTTTTTTAATTTCTCTTTTTTTGGTTTTTTGTGACAAAATCATTTGTAAAACTCAAAAACTTTCATCAAACTTTTCTAAACAATGCTGAGGAAGGGGAGGAGGGTGAGGGGGATTTATGATGTCTGGAAAAACGAGTATCAAAGTTAACTATCTGAGTAAGAGACTAAGAAAGATAAAATAAGATAAATTTGAGCTTTAGAGTCGACACGATTAGTGGTAGTGGAGCAGTCAGTTAGTGGTAGTGGAGTAGTCATTTAGTGGTAATGGAGCAGTCAGTTAGTGGTAGTGGAGCAGTCAGTTAGTGGTAGTGGAGCAGTCAGTTAGTGGTAGTGGAGCAGTCAGTTAGTGGTAGTGGAGCAGTCAGTTAGTGGTAGTGGAGCAGTCAGTTAGTGGTAGTGGAGCAGTCAGTTAGTGGTAGTTGAGCAGTCAGTTAGTGGTAGTGGAGCAGTCAGTTAGTGGTAGTGGAGCAGTCGGTTAGTGGTAGTGGAGCAGTCAGTTAGTGGTAGTGGAGCAGTCAGTTAGTGGTAGTGGAGTAGTCAGTTAGTGGTAGTGGAGCAGTCAGTTAGTGGTAGTGGAGCAGTCAGTTAGTGGTAGTGGAGCAGTCAGTTAGTGGTAGTGGAGCAGTCAGTTAGTGGTAGTGGAGCAGTCAGTTAGTGGTAGTGGAGCAGTCAGTTAGTGGTAGTTGAGCTAAGTCTTTCAGTATGATGAATAATAAAATGACTAGTAACAAAAGCAACAAATTTTTTTTTTTAAATCCATTTACTTAATCATAAAATTAAAAAATTTTTTTTATAATTTTACAAAATCAGGTTCAGTGTCACTTATTTAGTTAAAAACTAGTCATTGGAGTGACACCTTAATAAAATAAACAAATATAATCAAAAACAAATAAACAACAAAAAGTAATAATAAATAAACTAAAAAAAAAAAATCAATTTTTCCTTGTTTATCTCTTTTTATATTTTGCGCCATTAAAAAAAACACTTCCATCCATGGATAAAATCAAAAATGACAGTACAACCAATAGAGTAGTTTTAGAAGTCACACATTCCAAAAAAGATCTCGGAATTCTCGGAAAAGAGTACAATATAGATCCAAACAAAGAAAATAATATGCTTGGAATTCTTAAACACACGTTTGTATTAAAAGACATTGACATTTGGAAAAAAATTTATACTGTATATATTAGACCACATCTGGAGTTTGCCATACAAGCTTGGAACCCTTACATTGATAGTGACATACAAAAAAATTGAAAAAAATCAAACATAAATTTTTTAACAACCATGTAGTCAATGACCAGAATGCTTTGCCATATAATGTCTTTGAGACAACATCAGTTGATAAATTTAAACAACTACTAGACAGTTTTCAGTCATAGTTACTATAGCTCATCATTTACTGTAAATGCCACACAAAAGTGGCCGACATACAAGTTGGGTATAGATGCTATACTCAGCTGATGATGAGTTTAACAAGGTCATGGCTTTGTGTAAAATAATTAACTGACTTACTAATCAAAGATAGCGCATTACACCTTAAGCAATTACACCATGCATTACACCCTAAGAAATAGGGTATGTGTTTACCTTATTACTTTTAAGCAACCTAAAGTGGTAAGAAAGAGCTAATTTTTGTTACCTATTTGGGCTATTAGGGCTTATGTGGCCTAAACAATGCATATCAAAAGCACTAAAAGGGATATCTCCTATTGGTAACATGGCACTGTTAATACTTAGATATTTTACAGCTGTTGGAACCAGCCTTTCTGAGAGCTACCACAGAGTTCAGGAAACTTTACTACCAGTCGGTCTTAGAACCATTAGACTAATACACCCTAATAAGGAGATAATATGAAGAGTTGAATAAGAGACGCAAGCACAAAATTATGAGTTGAGAGAATCCAATACTTATTCTCTTAATAACTATTATCTTAATTGTGTAGTATACTATATTATTTTCACAATGTATCATTTTAATAATAAATATTTTAATTTAAAATAAGTTATCATCACTTTGTGGCTTTACAACAATTCAATTTTTACAACAAACAAATTTCCTTATTTCTAAAATACAACTTGAATTAAATCTTAAATAAATTGTAAAACAAACAACTATTCATAAAAAATTTTGAATAATTGAATGTAAATTTATTAGGAATATATGTTATTAAATATCAACTATTCACCCAGGTCATATTTTAAAAATTCGGAAAACACTTTGCAAAAAAAAACTCAAACTTATATATATATATATATATATATATATATATATATATATATATATATATATATATATATATATATATATATATATATATATATATATATATATATATATATCAGGCCTTGGCATGAAGCGGGAGCGATCGCTCCTGTCATGTTGAACACGCTCATTAATAGAATATTTATATATTGGGGGCGCGATAAAAAATAATTTAATTATGTGAGTAAAAAATCACGCTCATCCTAAAAATTTGGGAGGGAGAAAACTAATAATGGTTTACTTGATTTTACATTAAAAAATTTTTATAAAAAGTTTTTGTTAAAAATTCTTGTTTAATTTAACAAAAAAGTTTGCTTATTGTTAAAAACAAAATAATCTCTATTCTTTAATAGTGTTTCTTCAACTGAGGTAAAATGTTAAAGTTATTCTTCAATAAAAAAACTTATATCATTCTGTTAACTTAAATCATTCTGTTGAGCGCTAATTTCTACGAACAATGAATGGTGATTTGTGAATGAGACTTCTTTATATAAAATGTTAACACCAAATATTTAACGAAATTAAAATTTTATTTATATATATATAAGTTTATTATTAATATTAAATTGTGTAATAAATACAAATTAATTATGAGAAACGTTGTTAATTTAATTTTGTAATAAAGCATCTGCTAAAAATCATATGTGTAATAATAAAAGTTTTTATTTTATTTTGAAAAAAATATTAAATTAAAAATATTAACCCAAAGATACTAAAACTTTTAATCGTTCTTTGAGTTAATAGCCCAATGTTGATAGAAAAGAATTTTAACAAATCTTTTTAGAATTTTATAAGTTATTATTTAAATAAAACTATCCTTAAAAACAAAATAATCACTATTCACATATTTTTAATTGCGTTTTGACGAAGTAAAACATTTATAAAAACTTGTTTTCTAAATGTTAACCTAAAATGTTGTTATTAAAATTATAACTTATATTATTTATAACTTTATCAAATAAAATTCGATGTAATGATAAAAAAAATTGACTGTAGTATTAAGTTAAAGATGAAGACAATAAAAAAATACATAAAAGATAAGTTTATTCTATAAAACAAGATCATTAAAAGCTAGGAAGGAAAAAAAACACAATCAGCTGCAATCAAATTAAATTGGCTGGAACACCCATATCTAAAAATAAAAGATCGCTCCCGATAACTTAATGACGAGCGCGCATAATCCCGCTCGCTAAAAAAATATTTGAGTTTTACAGGCACGAAACATTGCGCTGGACAATTTTCTTCATGCCAAGGCCTGATATATATATATATATATATATATATATATACATATATATATATATATATATATACATATATATATATATATATATATATATATATATATATATATATATATATATATATATATATATATATATATATATATATATATATATATATATACATACATATATAATTCTCACCGATTTTATTATTGGAAGAATTTCTAAGCATAGATTCCTATGGGTAAAAATATAATCAGAAAAAATGTAAAATAAAAAAGATTATTACATTACATAAAAATAAATTTATATATTTATCAATGGCTTAAAATGCAAATTTTGGCTTAAACTCCACTTTGGATTGTCTTTTGAATGGCAATGCCTTGATGCAGTTATGCTGTATCACTATATCGGGTGACATGGAAAAATCCGGTCATCTTTAAATTGAGATTTCTCCAAAACCACAAATGCTTTTTATTTAATTTTTTTTTAAATTAAACCTTACTTCCTTATCTTAAATGTGTTGATAAATTTTTGTTTACAAATTAATGATTTGCAAAATGTTTTGGAAACAAGTTGAGGTGCGTAAAAAAGTTGTGAATTTTTTTTGCAAAAATTCATCGACTTCCTACACTTGATTGCTAAACGCACAAATGTCCCAAAATCTACAGTCATAGATATTATAAACAAGTTCAAGACTACTTAAAGCTTCGCAGGAAAACTTGGAAGTGGAAGAAAAAAAACTTTCCATAAATCCAAAAAGGTAAAGTCGATTTTACGTTCAATAGCAAGAAATCCAAATCAGTCACAGCGAGATCTAGCAAGAAAATTTAAGACTTCTCGTTCTTATATCAAAAAAGTACTTAAAAATGCTGGAATTAAAGCATTTCATAAAAAAAATACACCTAAGAGAAGCTTAAATTATGAAATTAAAGGAATTCGATGCGCAAAGAAGTTGGTTAAAATAATGGCAGATAAAAATGATAAAATATGTGCATAATTGAAGACGACGAAAAGTATTGCAAGGCGGATTTTTCACAACTTCCTGGTCAACAGTTTTACTATGAAAACAAAGCTAAACCTGTCGATGATCAATTTAAATATATTCGACGAGAAAAATTTGCACCCAAGTTCCTTGTGTGGCAAGCAATTTTTAGCTGTGGTAAGCAGTCCTCTTGTTTTGTCACTAAAAAGACCTTGACTGCCAATCTCTACATCAAAGAATGCCTCCAAAAAAGACTTTTGCCTTTTATAAAAAAAACACAAATACCGATGTCTCTTTTGGCCCGATCTTGCTGCCTCTCACTATTCTAAAAAAGTTTCACAGTGGTGCAAAGATAATAATGTGAAAATTGTTCCTAAAGATGCGAATCCTCCAAATCGTCCTGAAGAGCGCAATATTGAAGATTTTTGGGCAATAGTTAAAGGAGTTCTTCGTAAGACAGGTGGACTAACAAATAATAAAAAGGACTTTCAAAAAAAGTGGATTAATGCCACCAATATGGTGAAAAAAGAAAAAATCTGTAAAATGATGGCACCAACCCGCTATAGAGTTCGATTTCTTGCCAAGCAACCCATCAAGCCCCTTAAAATTAAGTTGAAACTCTAATTTATGTAAACACATTTAATAATAAAAAAATTGAAATAAAAAGCATTTATGGTTTTAGAGAAATCTCAATTTAAAATTGACCGGATTTTTCCGTGTCCACCCGATATAGACATATCCAGTGTAAATTAGATATTTGCACGTAATTCAACAATTTAGAAAAACATAATGTAAAAAAAAAAAAATTAGCAAAATAAAAGCTCTTCACTCTGCTAAACAAGGAGTTGCATTTGGGATTTAAGAGATCAGTGTTAACACACACACACACACGCACACACACACACACACATCTTTTAACATATGCCTAACATTTTATACAGTGTATAAAAAAAATTTCTTACTCTTTACTTGGCAACCAACTACAATCCTAAAAACAAAACTTTTAGTTTAAAAAATAGTAATAATAATTAAAAAACATTGGTCACAAAAAATTCAATAAATAAAAATTTTGACTTTATAATAATGGTTCCATTTTTAATATTAATACTAATTGTCAAAGCAGATAGGAATATTAAATGTGCAAACAAACGCTCCATATAAAAAACGTATAAATATAAAAAATGTACAGTGGTTGGTCAATTAAACCCAGATTTGTTAGGTCTGCCTTAGCCTTGCCTTAAGGCCAAAAATTGAAGCCTTGGCCTTGAAATTATTTACCTTGGCCTTGGTCTTGACCTAGGCCTTCAAAATAAAACACATAAAATTAAAGAATTAAAAGTTTTCATTCTTTATTTTTACCTATTTTTGTTTTCCGCTTTCATATATACCTAAAAGTATATTTTCTTATTGACTTCGTTGAATTCTGCACATAACCTTGAGTCTTATCTCTTGCAAAGTTCACCAGACCTACTTGCTCTTTGTGAGACTATTTTGAGTTCAGCTGTCTCATCTTGTGATCTTAGTATTGATGGTTATCTTCCCTTAATTTGTAAAGACTCCAATAGTCACATGCTTGGCCTGGGTATGGCCTGGCACATGCCAATCATAACCATTACTTCCATATCTATTAGCAAAACAATTCTCCAGAAAACAGTCGTCTGTTTATTACTGGTAAAAACCATTGTAAAAAGGTTTTGTCTAATGACAAAGCCCGCCTTTGTCAGGTCATGAAATCTCGTATTTTATCACAAAAATTAGGCTCTTATGACTTCTGGAGAATCTTTAATAGTATCAATAATAAGGGCAAATCTGTAATTCCACCGCTCTTGTATGATTCAGACCTTGTCACCTCACCTAAAGACAAAGCTGAATTGTTTTGAAAACTTTTCATCAATATCATTTCTTGATTCCACTAGTTGCGTTCTGTTGATCCTTTGCTTGACATTCGTATAACATGTTGATCCTTTGCTTGACATTCGTATCACTCCAGCTTCTGTATCTAAAGTGATTTCCTGCTTAGACTCTTCTACAGCTTGTGGCCCGGACAACATACCTATAGTCTTGCAGAAGTGTTCTCCTGAGCTGTCGTCTATCCTTTCAAAACTATTTAACAAATGCTTATAAGAGTCTTGTTTTCGAGCCTGCTGAATCTGTTATCCCTATTTTTAAAAAATCTGGAGAGCGATTTGATTCGTTTAACTACCGTTCTATAAGTCTTCTTCATATCATATAGAAGGTTTTCAAACCTTTAATTAACAAACCTTAATCTCTCATTTTGAATCTAATAACTTACTTTATGATCATCAATATGGATTTCGATCTTCTCGTTCTACAGCTGATTTGCTAACAGTAATTACCAATAGGTTTTATCATGCATTAGAAAAAGGTGGAGAGGTTAAGGCCATCACTCTTGATATTTCTAAAGCGTTTGATAAAGTTTGGCATGCTGGTCTTCTCCATAAGCTTTCTTTTTATGGTGTATCTGGAAACACTTTTAAGATTATTAAATCCTTCCTTTCCAATCGTAGAATAAAAGTTGTCCTCGATGGACAGCACTCTTCTTATTCTGCAACCTCAGGGGTTCCTCAAGGTTCAATCCTTGGCCCTATACTCTTTTTAATTTACATTAACAATCTTCCAGATATTCTCAAAGGTGGCAGTGTTTGCTGATGATACTACCATTTATTCTTGTCATGATAAGAAGCCAACACTCTCGGATTGTTTGGAGGGGGGATTTGAGCTTGAAAAGGATCTCACTTCTGCTACAGCATGGGGCTCACAGAGGCTGGTGAACTTTAATTCAGATAAAACTCAATTTTTTTCAGCCAATTGTTATTGCAATAATTTAGACCTTCCTATATTTATGAACGGTAATGTACTCAATTTGTCATCTAACCTTCATCTTCTAGGATTAACTCTTATTTTCAATCTTTCTTGGAAACCATATATCTAATCCGTTGCAAAATTAGAATCTGCTCAAGTCGCATTTCTTTATCAATCTCGACACTTTCTTACTCTGGATTCTATTCTCTATCTCTAAAAATCTTAAATCCGACCTTGTATGGAATACTGTTGCCATATCTGGGGCGGATCTTCTAATGATGCCCTTTCTCTTTTAGACAAAGTGCAAAAATGCATTAAGAAGATGTGATAATGGTCCACATAGTTGGACCATTATCACATCTTCTTATCACATCTTCTTAATGTTGCTTATCCATTATCACATCTTAATGTTGCTTAACCATTATCACATCTTCTTAATGTTGCTTCTCTTTCTCTTTTTTACAAATACTATAATGGACACTGCTCTAAAGAACTAGCAACTCTTGTGCCACCTACTAAAGTTTATTCTCATGTTACTTGTTATTCAATTAAGTCTCTTCCTTTTTCTGTTACTGTTCCGAAGTGCTCCAAAAACTTTCCTTGAACATTAGTTCTTTGAAATTCGCTTCCTTCATCTTGCTTTCCTGATTCATATAATTTGCAATCTTTTAAGTCGTCTGTCAATCATTATCTTGCTCTACAATCTTCATCTTTTCTCTTCCAGTAACTTCCAACTTCCAGTAACTTCCAACTCTATTTAGTGGTTGTTGGAAGCGAAGATGTTTAAAAAAAGTATATTTTCTTAATGACTTTGAATTTGAGGTTGAATTATGCACATAATCTTAATTAATTTTTATGTGTGGTTTTATTGTCACAGCAATTGTTACCTACAAATTTGTTAATAATTGGCCTTAACGTAAGGCAAAAATTTAAGTCTTTGGTCTTGAAAATATTTGCGTAGGCTTTGGCATTAAAACTCTTGGCCTTGGTCTTGTAACATGTGGTCTTGGTCTTGGTCTTGCCACTTTTGACTTTGTTAAAAACTCTGATTAAACCCTTGCTCTTCAAAGACAAAACTTTAATTTAATAATTTAGTGTTTGACAATGGTTATTCTTCTCAATGCAACAAAAATAGCAGTGAGACAGTCTTAAATGAAGGTTTGAGAAGCTATGTTTTGCCCTTATCAAGACAGTGGACCAATCATTCATGCAAATATATATATATATATATATATATATATATATATATATATATATATATATATATATATATATATATATATATATATATATATATATATATATATATATAAATTAGTAGAAAATCACTTAACAAAAATTTTTTTCATTTTACACTGTGTTTCATCAACAAAGACTCATCAGAAATGAATGATCAAATTAATAAAACTTCAATTTATACCAAAAATTTAAATTACAGGAAGTCACAAATGTTTTAACTACTGTAAATTTTCACACATTTGTGGAATTTGCTGACACTATTATAAAAAGAATTCTTTAGAAATGATTACTTATGCTTTTTTTTAAATAAAAATATTTTTAAAAAAGGGGGGATTTAATATAACTATTATTTGAGCTCAGTTATTTTTATAGTTTTTTAGGAGAAACTTATTTTCATGCCTGCATTTAGAAATCAATTCAGATTTTTTGTTTAACAAACATTCTTGGTTTGCATGTGTAATTATATGAAATTTTTCTTGTAGACATAGTATGCATTTTTTGGAAATATTGTTGTATGCAGGAACTGTTTTTAGGATGGACCAATTCAGTATAAAATCATCAATATTTTTATCTTTTAGTTCCCATATATATTTTAACAACATGGTGTCTTTTGAATACTTTTTATTTTTAAAAGATTGCTTATTATTGGCAAAAAAATATATATATATATATATATATTTATGTTGCATATACAACCCTCTGAATTAGGAAAAATGAGGTCGGCAATTTATAGCTGACCTCAAACTGTTAAAGGTCAGCAAAAAAAATTTGTTACAAAGGGGTTACCATAAAACATAGAAATGAGGTTGGCAATATTTTGCCGACCTCAAACACTTTAAGGTTAGCTGTTAGGTTGGCATTGCTGAATGCCAACCGTAATTCCAAGGGTTGCATATATGTTAGGGTGCATCCAATGCCCCATACTTTCAAAAATTGATCTGTCCCTATTCTTAGAACTTTCTATTGGTACTCACAAGACACTCTGTTAAATTTTTTCAAAATTGAATGAGATTTAGGGGGGCCACCTCAAATCTGAAACTTGCGACAAGACCCTAAACAGAAGAAAAAAAAGTTTTTCAAATGTATGTCATGTTGGGTCTCAAAAGAAGCGAAACTTTTTAAAAATTTCAAAAATAGTTATGATTTTTAGTTAAAAATACCTAAAAAAAAATTTCGACCAAAAACCGCAAGTTTCAGATTTGAGATGGCCCCCCTAAATCTCATTCAATTTAAAAAAAATTTAACAGAGTGTCTTGTGAGTACCAATAGAAAGTTTTAAGAATAGGGACAGATCAATTTTTGAAAGTATGGGGGATTTGATGCACCCTAATATATGTGTATGCATGTCTGTATGTATGTATGTATGTATGTATGTATGTATGTATGTATGTATGTATGCATGTATGTATGTACGTATGTATGTATGTATGTATGTATGTATGTATGTATGTATGTATGTATGTATGTATGTATGTATGTATGTATGTATGTATGTATGTGTGTGTGTATGTATGTATTGTATGTATGTATTTAAGTATAATTTTGCAAACCTACAACATTTTTATCATTCTTTAAGGACTTTGTTAGTTTTTTGATAATATCAGTAATGTTCTTTTCTTTTAACTAAAGAAAAACAAATATTTAAATGTTAAACTAATTTATATATATATATATATATATATATATATATATATATATATATATATATATATATATATATATATATATATATATATATATATATATATATATATATATATAACACAAAAAAAATTTGCTAGTTAATCAATTAAAGAACCTTAATTTGTTCTTCATATGTATAATTCCAATATGGACAAACGACATGAAATATTCTAAAAAAAAGTAGATTCTACTAAATATATTAGTAAATTTTTTAATTTGAAAAAAAAATGCATAGAAGCTATATGATACGGTATATCATTGACAAAAATATTAAAGTAGCAAAAATATAAATAAACAAATAACTTTTCAATATTTTATAAATCTCTCTTTTATGCATATAAATATACGTAAAACCTTTTAGTCTGTGTTCAACCAAGTAATAAAATATTCAACCATAAATATTCTGTTATGTTTAAAACCATTAAAAAAATTGTGATCCATCTCAAACACAGATCGATTAAATAATAAATAAAAAAAATTGAATAACGGGTGACAACTAAAAAATGAGACTGGATTTAAAGACACATATCTCCTTAAAGGAATAAGATTTTAAAAATAGGAAAACTGTTTTAGAAGGCATTTTTATTTTGGTTTTTAAATATTTTATGTGTTTTTACTTTTTATAGAAAAATGAATAAAAAAAAACAAATTCAAAACAAGAAGAGATTAGAAAACGTGTGTATGAATTTTATTTAAATAACAAAAATGCTGGTAAAAAGTTCACTTATGAAAACTTTAAAGTTGAGAATATACCTAAAAGTACTATCTACAAGATATTTAAATGTGCTGAAAGTGAATCTGGGTACTAAAGAGTTTAAGGAAGTGGAGTAAAAGCTAAAAAAATGACCAGGACAAACATTGAAAGACTCAAACTCATGTTTGACCATAAAGACAGAGTTTCTCAACAACAGTTGAGAAACTCCGACAGAGTTTCTTACCAATTAGTAAAACATCATAAAAAAGAACACATATTAAATCAAGAAAAAAAAATGACAATTCCAAAAGGCTCTGACCAGCAAAAAGCAGTAGCTTGAACTAAGTGCAGTTAATTGTGTCAGAAATTCAAAAACTGTAAACCAATCATCGACGATGAGTCTTATTTCACGTTAAATCATTCCAGTATCAATGGAAATGATATATTTTATATTAGTGATGTAAAATCTACTCCATCTACAGTTAAATACCAAACCAAATAAAAGTTTCAAAAGAAATTACTTCTATGGATTGCTTTTTCTGAAAATGGAATTTCTCAACCTTATTTTGTGCCAAGTTGACTGGCTGTAAATCAAAAAATCTATTTAAACAAATGTATTAAAAAGGGACTTATTCCATTCATCAATAAGTATCATTCAGATGGTGCATATGTATTCTAGCCAGATTTAGCATCATCTCACTATGCAAAAACAGTAATCATGTACCTAAACAAGGAAAACGTGCATTATGTTAAGAAAGTAGATATCCCTGCAAACTTGCGAGAATGTCACCCTATTGAAATGAACATAAATAATAACGTTTGCGATAAATTTAAAAATATCAAACAATACAATTTTAACACTATAAATGCTTTCATTTAAAATTTTTTCTATTCATACCATTAAAGACGTCAACATATCAACAATCATAGATGTCAGCATCATCACCTTATAATAACTAATAATAAAATCTTTTAAAATTGTACTGTAAAATTGCCTTAAGCTTTTAAATCAAAATTTAAATTTGTGTCTACACAAATAGTTTTCTTCTCAAATTAGTTTTTTTCTTCTCAAAATAGTTTTTCTTCTTTAAGAAAAAATTGAGAAAAAAATGTTGTTAAAAGTCTTTTAATTTAATTTTAAATTTTTTATACAAAAAAATACAAAAAAAAATACAACAAAAGTACAAGCAACTGCTAATCAAATTAGGACAAAAAACAAAGAGTATTGTTAAAGAGCAAAAAGACGATTAACAGAATACTCAAAAAACAGTAAATTACATGTGTCTGAAAACATCTAACTGGGAAAAAATTCCATAGCAAAAATGTTCATGTTCAATATTCATGGAAAAATACTAGATAAATAAAACTTTTTTGATGATGTAGATAATGAAACATAATGGAGAAGATGATGGAACATGAAGAAACATTTACAGTAAAAGTATGTAACTTAGCAGAATGACAACTCATGCATGATTGAGTTTTGGTTGATGAAACAAGTGATGATAGCCCTTGAGCAGCAATCATCAAAGTTTTAGTAGGAAAAGAGAAAGAGATGCAACATAACAATAATGGGACAGAGGCTCCTGCATAGCAGCTAGAGCAAGTCCAACAATATTTACAATGCAGTTTGGATCTTGTCTAAAAAGAGAGGGCTACATTAAAGAGACAAAATATTACAACCTTAGCAGATGCTAAATTATTTATGAATTATATTCATGGTTTCCATTGGAGGTCATTAATTAGTATGCAGTAGTTGTGTAGTGGTAGAGCCTTCGCTTCATAAGTGAGAGGTTCCATGTTGGATCCCCACCATATCCCTAGTATTAACGCACTTAACTTATTTCTCCGCACATCAGCCTTGTTTGTCAAGGTTTATATTTCAGAGTTATAGAGTTGAGAAAGGATTATAACGACAATTAAGTAGCCTCCTTGCCTCTAGTGGCCCTCTCGGTCTTGGGGAGGTGAATTGACATTAAAAAATTAATTAAAAAAAAAAAGTTAATGATAATCCATGTATAGAGGAAGACTCAGTAAGAGTATTGCAATTCATCATTATAAAAACATTAATTTATTAGCAATGATTTAGCAATATATATATATACATACATACATACATACATATATATATATATATATATATATATATATATATATATATATATATATATATATATATATATATATATATATATATATATATATTATATATATATATATATATATATATATATATATATATATATATATATATATATATATATATATATATATATATATATATATATATATATATATATGTATGTATGTATGTATGTATGTATGTATGTATGTATGTATGTATGTATGTATATATACATACATACATACATACATACATACATACATACATACATACATACATACATACATACATACATACATACATACATACATATTTATTAATATGGAGCTTATTTTTGAACCTTTGAAATATGATTATTTTGAAATATGATTATCTATATAAAATAATAACTAAAATCTTCTGAAAATTTTATTTTGTTAATACTAGATTATTTCTTGCGATAAATTTGAAATGCTTTTTTAACAACCAAGTAAATTGACACTTTATTCAATCATTGTACACAAAACATTTAATCATCTTGGATTTCATATCTGGCCAATCATCCAGTTCTGAACTAGATGTATTGATTTCCAAATTAAATGAAAGTAGATTTCTGTAAAGTTGCTAATTGACAATTGATATGATTGGAGCCATTCTTGATTCTTATATGTTGGTGAGTTAAATGAATGTTATTAAAAATATTTTTCTCAGCTTCTCGTGGTTGTGTAGGCTCAGGCTAATGTTGTATTTGGAGCTACTGAATACTCGAGCATAGCCAACAGCATACAAGCTATGTGTTTTGACACGACAGCTATCTGACTAGTGATGATTGCTGCTCAAGGGCTATCATCACTCAGATAGCTGGTGCCTGAGTCCTTCTAGAGCAGATGCTTAAGAAGTAGCTCTTTCACTGGCTTGCAGAAATTATGGTTGTCAAGTATCATTGCAGGATGTACCCTGATACCAGGAAACCAATTATATCCGGCTGACATCAACACTATAAATTTCGAGTTTGTTGGACTTTGTCAGACTGATACTATGAACACTGTCAGAAATTAAACAACTGTATGTGTTCATAATTCATTGTATATAATTCATAATTTGTTGAATTTTTACAGTTTTTGTAAGCTTTGAGGTAATTTAGCCTAATATAATAATTTATTGCTCAATCTTTTTATAGAGTGTTTCTAAATTATAAGGAACAGATTAAAAGGTTGAGAGATTCGAAAAAATATATATTGTTAAGCTCCACCTCTAATAAAAATAAACTTAATGAATTTAGAGCAATAATTCAACATAATATATTCATCACAAATATTTTGGTAATGCAACTCTTTAATAAGCAATATTTATGAAAAATATTTATGAAAAACATTTACCTTTTTTATAAACTTTTTCTATTAAAAAACTATAAAGATTATGATGGATCATGATTTTATTTAAAAATATAGAATATTATATATTCTTACCTCTCATCAAATGAAATTTCATCTTCATCAACTTTACTTTTTTTTGATGAACTATCTATAACCATAAATTTTTTATTTTATTTTTAATAACTTTTTTATGTATTTTTTACAATATTTAATAAAAGGAGTTAACCTCTTGAAGCATCTGCAGCTTTTCGTTTTCTTTCTATAACTAATGGATCACCAGATGGGGCAGCTTTCTATATAAGAATATTAGTATGCATTACAATCACATAAATTATCATCACTGTTAGTAAGAGTCTTTAATTTTACTAATGCTATAAATATAGAAAGTTCTTTATAAAATGATGGTACATTTTTTTATATACTAAAATGTAAATGCCCTATTAAATAGAAGAGCCTGATACAACTACCATTGGAAGTTTATATGGAAATATGTTGATATGGAAACTTTTGAAAATAAAAATTTTTGTATAGAGATTTAATTTATCAAAGGGATAAATTAAAAAGAGTAGAATGCAAATGTTGGGTAAAAAGGAGCTAAATGATAGAAACAATCCACAAAAAGAAAGAACAAGTCAAACTGTATTATGTACTAATTAACATTAACAATTATTATATACCAACAAGTTTGTTATTTAAGTTGTTAACCCGCACATATTTTAAACTGTTTTTCAAAACATAATTCCATGAAATACAATTACAACTTATTTACTAAAAAAAATTATACTAGGTATATATAATAATAAAACAAAATAAGCCATACCTAGTAGAAACAAACAACTATATGTCATTGGGTTATTATATTTATTCGAACAAAAGTTTAGATAATAAATATAGAAAATATTGACAGTCTAAAGCAGTGATTCCCAAAGTGGTCTATGACAACCTCCAAGGGGTCTACGTCAGCAAAAAACAAATTTGGGGGTCCATGAAGTAAAAATGGGGGTCCACAATAGTGGATCTGAACATTTTTAACTCATATGCCTTAAAAGCAGCTCATTTATTATACATTTACAGTAAATTAACTGCTAATAAATATATGGTGTTATAATGTATAATGAGATGCCAGCGATGAGTAATAAAATATATTGTATTTATAAGTGTAAAAAAAACAAATTGTTTACACTTTATAAATACGATTTATTTTATTGCTTAACGCTGTCAACTCAGCTTTTATTATTTTATTTATTTTTTATAATTTGTTATAAATATTTTTGTAATAAATTATAATATTTGTATTACTTCAACACATTTTATAAGTTCATATCTGGATTTTATCAATTGTTATTAACAAGTAAACCATAATATAAAAAAGCTTTTTGTTTGTTTTTATCTCATAGTAATAACATGATATACACTTTTCAATAAAAAAAAAATATGATGCTTTTTTAAAGTAAATTTTTAAAAAAGGTGTGCATTAAGTGGTTAAATAGATTAATTTTGCCCACAGTAATAGAATAATCCAATTAAAGATTAATTGTGATTAAGCCCACAGATGACTGATACCATGTCTAAATCTAAAAAGAAATTTAGACAGAACAGTGTTGATTATTTGAAGTTTGGTTTCACTCCATCATTATCGGACAAACAATTGCCTATGTGCCTTTTATACAAAGTTTTGGGCAATGACACTATGAAACCATCTTAACTGCAGGATCATCTAAGAAGATGTCATCCTGATTAAACAGATTTGAAATATTTTCAAACATTTAAAGATAAACTTCAGAAGAGAACCACGCAATGTTTGCTTTGACGCAACAAAAAAAACGATGATGGTTTGCTGGCATCTTACAGTATCTCGCTATTTATAGCAAAATCCAGAAAACTGCATACTATTGGAGAGAAGTTAATTTTGCCAGCCGTTAAAGAGGTTTTAAAAACTGTTTTGAAAGACATATTGATGAAATAAGTTCTGATATTAAAAGCTTCTTGTGTAATTATTTGCAAATGACCCATTTCTCTATACAACTGGGCGGGTCAACTTTGCCTGGTAATGAAGCATTCTTATTGACATATGTTCATTTTATAATAAATCAAGAACTGCTCTTTGCAAGAACTTTGACAACTGACACTAAAGGTGAATCATAATTTCATGTTTTGAAGGATTACTTCATTGAAAAAGCAATCCCTTTATCAAATGTAATATCAATAGCTACAGATAGAGCACCTGCCATGTTTGGTTGTTATTGTGGATTTATAAGCTATTTAAAATAAAATGTGTCAGTAAAAACTTGATTAAAACAAAGTCTATCTTATCATCATTTCTTGCCAGAATTAAATTAATGAAGCAAAATATTACACGGAGCAAATTTTCCTAGTTCCCCAATTTATCACAGGCAAACTGCCAGGAAGACAACATTTCAACCTATGTTCAACATTTAAATGGCCTCTATTCAGATTTTTAAACTAGATTTGAGAATGTTTAGACTGTGATAATACCACCATAGATAATTAACTCATATAATAAAATAGAAGAAACCAATGTCATAACAGAAAAGGAGCTGACTGAAACAAGTGCAAACAAAGAACTTAAGGTTCAGTTTAAAAACGGATATCAGCAATTTCCTTTCATCGTCATACCTAGTGGAAAGGAGGTTCAACCATGTTACCACCTCCTAACGAAAAAAACAAAACAGACTGGACATCATTAGCCATGAAGATTTAAGATTAAACTTTACAAAATTGATACCAAATGTTGATAATTTATTAATGCATCAGGTTCATCATTCCCACTAAAAACATTTACTCATTGCTTAATTTATTTTATGTTACGTATATTTTATATAACAAATATAAAATTTTATTTTGATTAGTTTTAATTTAAATTTAGTTAATAAATATATAAAACTTAACATGCATTTTTACTTTAAGTTTTTAACACTAAACTACAATTAGAAATTAACAAAAAATCAATATCAGGTAAGTAGGGGGTCTACCCAAACCAAAAAAAAAAAACAAGGGGTCTACGACACAAAGTTTCGGAGCTTTTGGTCTAACAAAAGTTTAGAGATAAACAGTCTAAAACAAAAGTGACAGAAATGTTTTTTTTACATTTTGAGATAATCACAAAAAACTATTTCTTTTAATGTAAACTTGTTAAAATCAAATATAAAGTAGGTTCTGTTATCACGTATTATAAGATAATAAACCAGCTTTATATTGGATTTTATCAAGTTTTCTTTGAAAACAATAGTTTTTTGTGGTTATCTAAAATTATAAAAAAATGACTTTTAATGATTAATTACATTACTTTTTTACAACAATATTTAAACTAATAAAAAAATATAGAAAAGTTTGCGTCACTAAAGAATTAATAAATTCAATAGTTTTGTCTATTGATATGTTTTGTTGTGTCTGCGATTTGATATAGTTTTTTAATTGAAACATTTCTAAATATGATTTTGAAATATAACACAACACATAAGTAGTGAAAACTTTTTTTTTTCATTCCTAATATTGAGGTGATAATAAATGCTATGTGGTTTCTTAAAAACATAATCCAAAAGATTTAACATCCCATGCATGCAATGAGAAGGCAAATAAAGTAGAACTACACCATTCAATCTTCCAATGTTGATTTAAATATACTGTAAATATGAAATGTAAATGTAAATTAACATAACTCGAATGTATAAAAGGTTCCAGAGAATTAATTGTTTTAGTAATAGATGGTATGAGGTCTGTGTTGCTATCTTGTTAAATATACATTAGATATTTTTTGCGTGTATGTGTATGCAACACTTTTAATATCTTTTGTTGTGTATATGTGACTGCAATACTTTTAATATCTTTTGTTATGTATATGTGTATGCAACACTTTCAATGTCTTTATGAGATTATTAGATAATATAGTTTTTTAAATTGATTTTAGGATTACTTAAAAAACTAGGATTTTTATTTATCTATTTTTTAAAACATTCTTGCTAATTCTTTTAATTGATAAAACAGTTTTTCTATATGATGAAAAAACTGGATAAGATGTAAATCTTTCCATTTTATCATTTGTCTTTACTATTGAATTTTTACAGGAATATTTTTCCATATATTTTTAAAATTATATTTTTGTAGTTTTATGAGTTTCTTTCCTAAGTAGGAAATAATAGACTTTTAATTACTTTCACTCCATTAACATGAATTTCTTTTACTTTTACTCTGTGAAAAAGATTTTTTGATTTATTTATTTTTATCATTTAATCCAATAGTGTAAAATTTTAGTTTCACTATAACAAGTAGAACTGGGGAGACCACTTTTTGTCCATTGGATAGTGAATAAATTAGATTAAGCAAACAAACAATTCTTTTTGTATACATCTGCTAGAGAAGAATTCTGCCTAGACACTTGGTAGTACTCCATCCTTTAATTCTGGCTTCTTTCATCAAAAGATTATCATGGACAGCATGTACTTACAGCTTTCTAAAAACTAAATTAGTGTTGTGACAAAGTATTTCATTTTTATCAAACTCAAAGAATGGAGAAAATGAATTTTTTTTATAGATGCAAAGAAAAATGCATCTCAGACAAAAAAAAAATAAAAAAGTAGCCTATACCCGGTGTTATAAAATCTTAAATCAGTGTGGATTGTAGATAAAAAAGATAACCTATGATTTTACCTAAATGCACAACAAAAATGCCAATTAGAATCAAAAAAAAAAAAAAATAGTATCAAAGATTTGAATCCAATAGATCTTAGATGAGATTATTATACTCCTTGTTCACTTTGATTAAACTGCAAATATTTTAAACAAATTTTGTATTTTAATTTGAAGTCACACACACACACACACACACACACACACACACACACACACACACACACAGAATTAAGTTTCAGAATTAATGAGTTGCATGAGGGTTGTAACCACAATAAAAAAGTTGTCTTCTCAACTGTAATTGCTGCCTTGGCTCCCTTGGGGGAGAGGAATAAGATAAAAAATAAAAACCTTAACCTTAACTGTCAACACTTTGTTTTTCCATTTGAAGTTGTTCAACTTTTCTAGCGCAACCTAAATTAAAAATAAAATTATAATTATAAAAAATAATTTTTTTTTTTAATGAACTATTTTTAATGATCCTTATCATATCAGATACATAACATTATTTAAATATTTTTTTAAAGTACAACATCCATGGTTCTTCACTTGTGTGGTTTGGAAGGTATGTTATATTCTAAAATGAATATGCATCATTATAAAAGAGAAAGGGATTATGACATGCTATTTTCTTATTTAAAATGACTTTAAAGAAAAAGCAACTTTGAACAACTGAATTCCTTATGTTTACCTGTTTTACAGATCAGGACTTAGTGAACTTTTTGTGATCATTAGAAACAACTAAAAAGATTACAATCTGAGGTTTATAAGTTCCTCTTACCCATACCCCAAAAAAATTTGACTAGTTGCCTTAATATGGTTGTAAGCTAATGTGGTTGTAATGGACTTAAGCTTGCTTCCATCATTAACAAACAATTTAAATAATACTTACGAAAAGTGACAAAATTTTCTTTTACAAACTATCTCTTCTGGTAATTATAAAACAATTTATATTCAACAGAACTTTTAATAAAATTAAAACAATTACCTGACGTTCCTCTTCATTTCTAATAAAAAAATATATATACATGTAAAGAAGCTTTTCATTATATATATATATATATATATATATATATATATATATATATATATATATATATATATATATATATATATATATATATATATATATATATATATATATATATATATATATATATATATATATATATATATATATATATATATATATATATATATATATATATATATTAGGGTAGACCTTAAACTTTGAAAATTTCACTTGCCTGCAAAGAAACATGATTCTTTACACATAAGAATATAAATTATATAAAAATTCTTATATAAAAACATTATTAAGTGCTAGCAAATTTTATTTGATTATTTTCATTTTAAACCTAAAATATGTCAAAATTAATTTTGTACGTTGAAAAATAATAGTTTTTATTTCTATAAAAATATACTACATGATAAATATTTTTTACAAATTTTTTTCATAAAGATATGTAACTATCCTATAATGCAGGATACTTTAACCAAGAAAAAAGTGTTATAAACAAATTATTTGTGCTAAATCAGCTACTCGGTGTAGTTAAGGCACTTTTAAAATATTAGAGCGTCTGTATGATTTTGTTGACTACAACATTTTTTGGTTAAACGGTCTGGTCTGTGAATTATGAAAAGACGAAAAAACTTAAAATGATAAACTTTGCGGTATCATAAAATATAAATGTTTGTAGCGAAAAAACCCAGACCGATGATTCTTTTTTTTTTTTTTTAAATCATCTTAAAATCACTATCGCTCGTCCAAATTTGAATAAGATTTTATATTAATACATTTTTTAGGTGAAATAAACATTATAGTTTAACAATATGATCTGTTCTGATCGTTTATTGACAATTTTCTATAATTATAAGCTCTTTTTTGGTCGGAATTCTAGTATTTTTTGTAAAAATTGATAGAAATATTGTGTAACCGATTAGAACCGATTAGAACTAGGATCAGTAGTAAATAGTTAAAATCTTTTGAAAAAGTAAAGAACTTTTTCAAAAGATTTTAACTAAATTCATATTAATGCTGATGAGCGGAATTGATCTAAAGACTCCAAAATAGTGTTTTTTAGATACACGGGTAGTAAAAAGGTTTTGAAAATTATATAAAAAAAAGAAAAGTTTCTTTAAACATTATATAAACCTTAAGCAAAAAAAATTATAGCATTTAAAGACCTTGTTTGGACATAATATGCTGACAAAACCATGCTAATTCCTAATAAAAGTATTTGAATATTTTGTATATCGCCTTAACTACACCAAGTACTTATTTATATTAACAAAAGATTTTCTGTGATTTCGACTACGTTAAATATCCTTTGGTACAGCCTTATCCTAAAAACATAAAAATATTTTTTCTATCTGTTTTATATTTTAATATTTGAATGTAATCGGAACACAACTTGATTTCTATTTCAGTCGCATCGCTAGTTACTTTTAAAGTTTTGACAAATCCTTTTATCTTCAAATAGCATTCTCATCCTATTCTGATGAAGAAGTTTTGAGCCATTTTCTTTCATCTTATTAGTTTTGAAAAATCAACCAAGACTTTTTTTCCAATAAAAGAAAAACATTTCAGAATTTTTTTAAATTAATGAAAGAGCTGGTTTATTGCTATTGATAACAAGTTGTTTTCCATAATCCAACTTTTTTTTCTTTGTCATTTTGAGAATGTTTATTTAAAAAATAAACTTAATACAGACACCTGTTCGGTTACATACCAAGAGTGTCTGTTTAAACCTTATTGGGCTTGTTTCAGCAGCAACACAGAATTTCGGTATATCTTTAAAAATCTCTACTTTATATATTAGTTTGTACATCACTAGCTTTTGATGCTTCTGACCAAGCTTAAATGTAAATGGAGCTGAGCTGAAAATCAAAATTATTTTTAAGTTGCTTGAATCAGATTCTATTAATTCATGTTTAAAGATTAACATCTTTGGTGCGTACAACAAATATACCATCCATCTTGCACGATGACTAACACAACATGTTTTCGATTGCTTGGGCTCTCCCTCTCTTTTTCTCTCTCTCTCTTCTTTTACTCGTTTATTCCATAGTGAAATTGCTAATTCTGCAGCATCTTTATAATTATCTCGTAGGTGATGCTTAGATTGTAATACTTTCTCTAAGAAACTGAGAGTTTCATTAGCTTTTTTAGAGTTTAGCCATTCCTTTTAAAAAAAAAAAAGTCTACATTATCATAAGATGTCTCTTTTTGACACAAAGCATTCAAAAATGACCCAAGAATCAGCTTTAAACATGATGATAGTATGCAAGCCAGAAAAATGTGTTTTCACAGACTTGGTTTTCCCAAAAAAAGTTGCCGCTCAGTTTCTCACTCCAGTATTACAAACCGTTGTATCAAAAACTTATTTGCTTGATATGCGCTTCACAAGTTTTCCATCACAATGAAGAATTGAATAATCTGATTTAAATTTTGTTTTAAACTCTGAACTTATATTTCTTGAAATAATATGCCTATTTTGGTTACGTGCTCTTCTAATTGTATTTAATAAAATGTTTCTTGTCTTCGAACATTTAAGCAAGTTAACAAATTACTTAAGATTACTTAATTTTGTTATTGTTATTTGTCTTAACCTTATAAAATTTATGGTATCAATTTTTCCTATCACAGTTAAATGCATTCTTCATTTGTTCAATGTCATCTAAGCAAAAATACAACTCCAATCATTGAAGATTTATAAAGTAAAATAAAGTATAGCCTAATTTTAAATAAAAGATTAACTTTATTTAGTTTTTTGGATCAATAATTTTGGACAACAATTTGGGATGAACAATGGCTTTGGACTAAAGTCATTGCAAAAGTCATACGCAATTGTTTTCACTCTTGATTCTTGTAATTTGATTAATGCCTTATTTTATTATCAAGGTTTTCATGCAATAATATTAGACCCACTGAATGAGGGCAAAAAAGACCTTAAAATTAAACTAAAAAAAATATTAATGACAATATATAAAGTGATAAATGTAATAAAATTTTTTTCAGAAAAATCACAGACTGCTCTTGACTAAAAAATTTTTACAAATCATTAACATGTAAATAATTTTAAAGTTTAACAAACAATTTCCAACAAATGGCTTAAATACTATTACCACAACATTCTACAGCCGAATTAGCCTTATAGTTACTCCAACCAGTTGTAAATGTTTAGTGTAAAGGGTGTAGTGTTTAGTGTAAAGGATGTAATGTTAAGAAGATGTAGTCTCAAAAGTTAAAATGCTGCAAGTTGAAATATCAAAAAGTACAATTTTAAAAGGTGAATTTAATTTTAATTGAGTTTAGGAGTACATTAGTTAAATTTGAAAATAAAAATCTTTTTTAAAAAGATGACTATTAATAAACTATTATTAATACACTATTAATTATATAAATTAAAGATAAAATACAAAATTAAACACAAAAACAACTAAAGCATACTTTAAAGCAAGGAATGCGTAATCTTGATTTTTATGGTATTTTGTCTTGTGAGGAGTAAAACCAAGCACTTTAATAACAGTTTCACGAAATCTCTTTAAATATAAATATAAAAAAAGGTTCTTTGAAACATTTAGCAAATAAATAAATAATGTTCAATAAATAATTCTAGGGTATTTCCATGTAAAACTGGGACAAAAAATCTAAATTTTTCAGTCACCCTCTCAGATTTCTTTCAAATTTTACCCAGTGGTACATATCAATGTAACATGAAAAATTGTAAAATTTGAGCTCCCAAAATCAAATGGTTTAAAAGTTATGACGTTTTGAAATTCAGCCTAAAACGTTCCTTTTTTTTGCCAAGTCTGCCATTATGGATTTTGTAGTTGTACTTTTTAATGTATAATTTAAGATCTAGTTGAAGAATGAGGCTAAAAATGGGTACCTGACCATTTTTGAGGGTGCTGAATTCATAAATGTAAAGCAAATTGTGAAATTTAAATTTTATGATGGTTATTTTTTGATTTTAAAATGGTCAGTCCAATTTTTTGTTCTGTTACCATGGGTTGCGCTTTCATCAACTCCTGGAGTTGCCCAAGTCTCATGGATTCAATTTTTTTTCAAATGAAGTAGGTGATCCTAGGCTATCTTTATAAAAAAGATGGTTTTGGTTTCTTAAGCATTATAAAGATATATCATTTTGAAACTTATACTTGAAAAATTCCTTATTTGGACTCAAATTCTCTTTCATAGATTTTTTAGTTATAGTTTAGGTGTAAATAATTTAAGTTTTAGTCGAAGAAACTGACTGAAAATTGGTATCTGACCATTTTTGAAGATGCTGAATCTAAAGTAGAAAAAAAAAATAACCTAATTTAAAATGTTAGATTACAGTTTGTTTTTTTTTAAAATGGTAAAAAAGCACATTACAATAAAAAGAGGTAAGGTTTTCACAAGTTTCCTGATCACAAGACTCTCATGGGTTCAGTTGTGATGTGTAAAAAGAGTTTATTGAGGTAGGTTTTTATATATAAATAATATTTTGTGAAGTGAATTGTCATTTAAAAAAATTGTTTTGCAATGCCTGCTGTGATGTATAAATATAGATTTGTGATGTCAGATATGTTGTATAAATATAGTTTTGAAACACCAGTAACCATAAACTTAAAATTATTTTAATTTTAGATTAAATAATTAGAGAATTTAGTAATTCAGTTTCTTAGTCATGGCAAAGCTAGGAAGTGAATGTCATCTTGCAACATATACATCGTTGCTTGGAATCGATCCTTTTGAAGATATTCCTGAGTATGAAAGAGAAATATTAATGTGGAGGACTGGGCTCTCAATAATCAATGTAAAACCAACAACTTGTCTACATCATAAACATGTTTATTTGAAGCGTTATGGAACTAAATTAACACGGTGCTGCAATCCATTTAATACCCATAACAAAGTTATAAAAGGTATTTATAGTAATCACAACTTTTATTTTCTGAAAATATTGTGAGTTACAAAAGAATCAGAAGAGAACGAGTTGAAGATAAAATTAACTGAAGATAATATGGAAAAAGAAATTATACTGGAATCAGCAAGATCATTGCTCAACATTACTTTGTGTGAACTTGAAGTGTCTCCGCTTCAAGTTCATTTACCAAAAACCTCTAACAAGCCTTCACTTGGAAAGAGAAAGATAAAGCAAGTTGAAGAAGCAATTATTAAGAAACTTGCTACTGCTCTGGATGTCACCGAATCCGATCTTGTTGCACCTAACAATTATGAAGTTCTAAAGGAAATTGAAACCAAAGCTGGCGATCTAGACTTCCTTGTTGAACGCATGAAAGAAAAACTTGAAGTTTTTAACAGAAGGCAGCAACTTCAAATTTTGACATTGACACCCAAATCTTGGTCTATCAAAAAAGCAGCAAAAGAGTTTTCAGTTTCCAAACACAAAATTCAAAATGCAAAGCTTTTACGTGACCAAAAAGGCATCATTGCATACCCCAATGTGGTTGAACGGCATCAAATCAGTAAAGATGTCATAGAACTTGTAAAGCTTTTTTACTGTGACGATGAGTATTCAAGGCAAATGCCAGGTAAAAAAGACTGTAAGTGTTGGGAAAAAAAAATACATGTCAAAAAAATTGATTATGTGTAATCTAAAGGAGCTCTATGTGGCATATAAGATTGAGTACAGGATTTTCTAAATTTTGCAGTCTTAGACCTAAATAGTGCATCCTTGCTGGTCCAAAAGGTACACATTCTGTTTGTGTGTGTACAATATACCAAAATGTTAAATTAATGTTGAGTGCTGTAGGCCTTGAAACATCTTACCATGAAATCATTGAAAAGATTGTCTGCAGCAGAAAATCAAATATTTGCATGATTCACTGATGCAATAGTTGTCCTGGCATACAAGCTGCCTAAACTTATTTCCAGCAGTATCTCACACAAAATTATGATCCAAAAGAGCAATATGACAGTGACGAAAATGAACAGTCAGTGAATTTCAAACAGTGGACAACGACAGATAGAACTGAACTACTAACAATACAACTTCCATTAAATGAATTCATAGAGCTCCTGTGTGAGAAACTTGATAAAATTACTTCTCATTCATTTATAGCAAAATCACAATCTAGCTATCTAAAGCATCTCAAAGAAACAATTAGTATTGATGAGGCTATTATACTGGCAGATTTTGCAGTAAATTACACTTTTGTAGTACAAGACGAGATACAGAGTTACCATTGGAGCAAGAGTCAATGTACTCTTCATCCAGTTGTCATCTACTACAAGAAAGTGAAATTGGAAATATCTTCTTTTTGCGTAATTTCAGATGATTTGAGTCATGATGTTGGATTTATCAATAAAGTTATGCATAAAACCATTAATCATATAAAAACTCATCTTTGCCCCGCAATTACAAAAATTCATTATTTTTTTGATGGCTGTGCAGGGCAGTATAAAAACTGCAAACATTTTTACAATTTATGTCACCATGCTCAAGATTTTTCTGTTCAGTGCATCTGGAATTTCTTTGCAACAAGCCATGGCAAATCTCCATGTGATGGAATAGGTGGCACTGTTAAAAGACTTGTTTTAACTGCTAGCTTGTAGAGTCCAACAACAGGTCAAATACTATCTTCTCAAGCAATGTTTGAATACTGCCAAAAGTCAATCAGTGGGATTACGTTTGTGTACGTCATTGCTTAAGAAATGGAGCTAGTAAGAATCAAACTTGCTGATAGACTATTAATAGCAACCACTATTCCTGGGACAAGAAGTTTCCATCAATTTATATCTTCTTCTCATTCAATTATAAAAATGAAAAGGGTATCCGATGATGATGATTTTGCTCTAACATTTGACTTCCTCAATAAACAAAAATACGAAATTAATAAAATTGAGAATGTTATGATGTCACAATACCTATTTTGCAAGAACAACGATTTTTACTGGCTTGGAATGGTTTCTGAAGTTGATAAAGAGAATGACGATTTTATGGTAAAATTTATGCATCCAAATTATCCAAGTCGGTCGTACTACTGGCCGAAGCGGGATGATAATTGCTGGGTGCCAAGAATGAATGCCATTTCTCTTGTTAAAACACCATCAACATCTTCTGGACGTCAGTACCACATCACAAAAGAAGACGAAACTCATTTTGAACATCTTTTATCTTGTCAATGAAAGTTGATGAATATTTTACTTTCATTATTTAAATTATATAAACTTCAATTTTAGTCATATTTGGTTTATTCCTTTTCCTTTTGATTTTTGAGCTTTTTTTAATAAAGCAGATTTTTTACTGTTTTTCAAAAAGGTTTGCATTTTAGTTTCTTATTTTTTAACACAACAATACCCTATTATTAGACATAAAGTAATAATGTCACGTTAAATTATTATAATTATTAAATAAAGAAATTATATTTTCAATGTATTGTATAGTAAATTACATTTCCATGTATACTTTTAAAAATATTGATTATAAATATGCAAGTTATGCAAAGCATTATAATTTTTTGATTTTCTTTTAAAAACCTAAACTTTTTTAAGACCTCTTATTTCACAATAAGAGTAAGGCAACTCCAGAAATAAGGAAAGGTAAACCATGGTTAAGAAATAAAAAAATTTAACTGTTGATATTTTAAAATTGAAAAATTATTCTCAAATACTAGGAATAGGGTTCATTTATCTTTATCTTTGTATTCAATACCTTTAAAATTGGCCAGGTACCAATTTTCAACCATATTTCTCCACTAGAACTTTAATTATTCACACAAAAAGTATCGCTATAAAATCTATAATGGAGAATAGAGGCTAAAAAATGATTTTTTTGTCTAAATTTCAAAATGACATATCTTAATAATTCTTGAAGAAACCAAAACAAATAGTGAGCAAATAGTGAAATTTAAATAAAATTTAAATTTCACTATTTGCTTTACATTTTTGAATTCAGCACCCTCAAAAATAGTCAGGTACTCATTTGTAGCCACATTCTTCCACTAGATTTTAAATTATTTATTAAAAAGTACAACTACAAAATCCATAATGGCCAACTTAGCAAAAAAAGGAACGTTTTAGGCTGAATTTCAAAACGTCATAACTTTTGAACCATTTGGATTTGGGAGCTCAAATTTTGCATTTTTTCATGTTTCATTATAATGTACCACCTGGTAAAATTTAAAGAAAATTCAAGAGGTGACTGAAATGACTGTCCCAGTTTTACATGGAATGACCCTCTAAATATAGTTCATTCAATCAACAGCCAATAAATTGCTAAAGTTTTTATAAACGTTATGACCTTAAAAACAATTCTGTTCAAGTTTGCACTTTATTTGTTAAACTTGTATAATATAATTATAGATATAATGAGAATTATGAAAACACAACTTTAAAAATATCTTTTCACAGTTTGTTGCTTAAAACGATAATAAAATCATAAAATTTTGAAAAGATAATGTAAATAGAAAAATAAATTAAAAATATAGAAGGATAAATACATAAAGACTTAATTAAAAACAGCATGTACATATATACTTACACCAAATGAGATTTTATCAGGAATGTTGTGTACAACTACTTTAAATATCTCAGATGTATACTCTCCAGATTTAAGATAATGATACTCGTCTGTCAACTCATCTAAATTTAAATTACTTTCCTTTTTTTCTTCCTTTTTTAAATTGCCTAATGTGTCTGTTTGCTCGCATGTTAGATCATTTAATTTCTCTGAATCATTTACGTCATACTTCACTTTATCAATATTTTCAGCCATATTACTTTTAAACTAAAATAACTAAAAGCAACAATTTTACTGTCACTTTAACACTTTCACATAATAGAATGGTAAACATTTTTTTTTTACAAAAAATTTAAACTTACATTAAAGTTTTTTTGTTTTGGAATTTTATCTACTTGACACATTCTGCAAGCAAATTTCTCTTTGAAAGTCAATAAAAAAACTCATAATAATAAAAAAGGAATGTTTTATCAAAACATGAGTATTTAATTCCTTACTATGCTGTTTAGTAAATATAATATACTACAAAGAGGGATTTAATAAACTCTTTATTAATCAATTAAAATAAATTAATATGAAATTAAGTAGTTCAGCAGTTAACTGTTGAATTTCTTGTTGAATCTTGACACCTTAAAAAAACAATTGAAAAACTAACAAGGACTAGCTTTTCATGTAAAAGTTATGCACATTATAATCAAAGAAAACTGTAAAATGGCATAATCACAAGTTCTTCCAAGTAAAGAAAAACTTATAAGATTCTAAGTATTAAAAAAAGTAAAACCTTGATCTTTTTTTTTTTTTTTTATAGCAAATATACTCCCAACAAACTTGCAAACCACAATTTATGTTGTGTTACCAGAAAACAAAGAATAACAAAAGAAATTCCAACTATATTTACAACATTTTTAGACCTTGTCTAGAAAAGAAAACTAGCCCAAATATAGCAACAACATTCCATACAGGGACAAATAAAAGGTTGCGAATGGAATTGAGTGTAAGGAAATGGTGAGCACCATAGAGACAACCTTAGCAGATGCAATCTAATCAACAAAATTATTATGACAGAAAATGCAAAGGATCTAGCAAGTAGCTAGAAAGAGGGGCCTCAGTATAGTGCTTCTAAAGCCAAAGCAATAAACATCTGTGATGAGACATATTAAGAAAGTACCGCTAAGTTGTTTGGTGTTGAGGAAAGTCAGATTTTGAGATGATTAACATTATTTTTTTCTGACATTAGAGTAAAAATAAATATCTTGTAGCAATTAAATGTAAAAATATATAAATTGTAGAAGTGCAATTAAAAAAAAATGAAAGCAAACAAACAAAAGAAAACATAAAAAGAAATACTTTTATTTTTCAAAAAATGACTAAAAATTAAAGTTGATCAGAACAGGTACTCAAGAAAAGATACATTGTTCCCTTTGATATACTTTTAACCAGAAAAAGAGTGGATATAGCTAATTTTTTTTTAAGAAAAATTATTTTTTGAAAGACTAAGATATTTACGCTTATTTGGTTCAACCGAAACGTTTGTAATCGCGACTGTCATACAACACTTATACCAGTCAAACAGTTAAAGAATAAAAATGTGATAACTATGTAAAAAATCAAGACAGATACAGATAGATTTTAAAGACACTTTTATTTTTGTAACGGGCTTAGAGTAAAACATGGTAGTGTTATACAGATGTTTTATACTTTTATGGGCACATCTACCAATGCCTCTATTATTAAACAACGATTAGATTAATCAAATTTAATATATTAAATATAAAAATGCATTATTAAATATTTTTCTGTGATTATTTGTGTGCAAATAGTGATATCTAATAAATTTGTAATAAATATGCGGTTTGCGCTATACCCTCGTGTCATCTCGCTCGTTAAAAATAAGATGTAATTCTCTGTTTATATTGACTATAAAACGCGTCTTATCTTAAATGCGTTATTAAATTAAATTACAATCCAAGGGACCAATGAAGATGGTTCGATTTTACGAATGTTCGACGAAAGCAAACTTCCGTCCACAAATTACGTCACGTGAGGAGGGGGAAGAAGGCGGTTAGACAGTTTACAGGGGAAGGAGGGGTATTTTGTTTTATGAAGCATCATTTTTTAAGTTTCCAATCTAGAAAATCTTTTCTTTTGATTAAAAGAGCCTAAAACAACACAAATTTTCCACCGTACTAATTTTACTTCATACCTATTTAAGTCAGTCGACGTATATAACTACATTGCAACTAGAGCCATATCAGTCAACCTATGTACGCATTGATTATTATTTTTGTGTGAAGTTTTAAAAAGTATATATTATAAATAAATATTGTTATAACGTATATATAATAATAGTTATAAAGTATATATAATAAATAAAATATAGTTATAAATATACGACAACAATAGTTAAAACATATAAAACAATTTTCAAATCACATCTCAACACAAAATACAAAAATATACTCTCATAATATACAAAAAAAAAAAAAATTCAAAAACTTGCGCCCTTAAAGAGAACCCTTGTTAGTCGCGCCTCCACATATGTGGGATTAATCATTCAGGGCTCTGCACCACGATATTGCAATTTTAGGGGGAAGGTTGGGGTGGGGGCGAGAGAAAGCCAAAAAACAACCCATAAGTCGAACTTTGGCTGATATAAGATCATTTTAAATTAAGGCTAGTTCAGCCAGTTCGAGTTATCATGTTGAGTTAAGGCGATTTTTCTTTATTCAATGCTTTAAGTATAAACATTAAATATACACCATTAAACTAACATAAACGTGATCCACATTAAAAGATAACAGTGAAAAAGTTTTAGCCACACAAAGACTTTCCTATTATTTGGTAATAAAATTGCGTCTAAAAGCTAGCTATCTTTCATATAGAAATATATTAAAACTTTAAAATAATTGCTTTTTTAACGTCATTATAATATATATATATATATATATATATATATATATATATATATATATATATATATATATATATATATATATATATATATATATATATATATATATATTTAATTTTATTTAGGTGCCCCAAGAAGTCCTTACGGTCTTATTACAGAGCACCGCGGATGAGCATTTAATTGGAAGTTCACGCCTCCTTCCTAACTGATGTCGCGAGACTTGCTCAGAGGTGGGTTTGAACCAAGGATCCTTTGTTTCTGAGGCAAGTGCGCTACCACTGCGCCACGGCTGCTCTAATTTTGATTTATTTGTGACAAAAAATCAAAGTTAATAACCAAAACATGAACTGAACAAAGCCGTTGCGCGCAGAAACAAGTTATTGAAGCAAGGTACTAAGTAAGTTTATTTTATTTTAAAGGCAGTCTTTGTGAAATTAATTTGGACACAGCAAAGTTCTATGCAATAAAGATATGTTCGTATAGAATAAACGCAATTTTGTAAGACAAAGATTTGTCTACAATGGATATATAAATTAGCATCAAGAGAATAATCAGAAAGTAATGAGATAAAAAATAACATCTATTGAAGATGATATAGTGTATAAAAGTACTTTATGCAGTGTCTTCATTAAAGGTTTGTATAAGCGCACCCACTCACAAACCTTGATATGAAAATGAGAAAAATTAAGCATCTTGAAGAAGCAAATATTAAAAAACTTGTGATTGTTCTAAATATCTATAAATCCAATTTTGATACATTAAACAACATTGAAGTTTTAAAGGAGATTCCAACCTAGCTGACAATCTGGAATTTTTCATTGAAAAACTTCTAACAGAAGGCTGCAGCGTTAAATTTTAGCATTGAACCCAAAATCATACCAGAACATCGACAAAAAAAATATCTTAGCATAGGTAAATCTAATTGTACGGTATCGAATCAATTTTAGATATTTTAGAATATTTAAACACTTTTAAAACTTTTTTTAAAAAAACAATAATTAGTATTCAAGACAAATGTCTAGTAAAAAGAATATGTTAGTGCTTGAAAAAATAACACTTGTTAAAAAAATAATTTTTTATAATCTTAAGATAATCAAGACAGAATATTATATATTCGAATATAAGATAAAGCACAGAGACGAAAAAATTGGTTTTTCCATAATCTACAGTCTTGGATTTAATAGTGTATCCTTGTTGCTCCAAATAGATACGCATTCAGTTTGTATCGGTAAAATACACTAAAATATGAAACTGATATTGAGTGCCTTAAAACTTTAGAAGCTGTGGCGTAATGGTTAGAGTTCTGGCTCAGAACCTAGAGGTTCGAGGTTTGACCCCGGGTTTAGGCCAATAAACGATATTGGTAAGGAAGGAGGCATGAAGTTAAATGCTTTTCCGCGGTGCTCTGTGATAAGACCGTAAGGTCTCCTTAACAACTACAAAAAAAAAAAGTCTTACCATGAAATCATTGTTGGAAGCAAGAAACCGAAAGTTTGCATGGTTTGCAAAAACTTACTGTTCTCTTCCCCCACGTTGAGTTTTTGATATCCATGTGAGATGATATAAAATGACACTTTTTTAAAACTGTTTTTTTTTAGTGTTTTACATTAAATTTAAATTTACTTAGTGTTCCTTATTTTTTATGGGTAAATTGTAACTTACATTGATGTTGCAAGCTATTGCCTGATGAGTCTCGTTGAATTTTGGCGCTAATTTTTTTAATTTTACGGTGTCATTTACGCGCAAAAAGTCCCTAATTATGCATCTTTTTTCTCCATCTGCTGCATTGTCTACTGCGCTATATTCAAGGCAGAATTAGCTGAAAACTGGCAACTTGTAACAGGGATGCGTAAAAGAATGGAAACACCGTTAAAATGTAAACCTTATAGAAATTTTAGATTTAAAGGTAAAAAGTAACGAAAATGTACATTATTTTACATTAAGAAATTTTAAATGTAAAGAAAATTGAATACATTGAATTGTTTGTAATTTGTCACTATAAGAAAATAGCAATTGTTGTGCAATTTTAAAATTAGTATAGATTTTAGATTAGATATAAAAATTGTTTGTTTAAGTTCAAGTAGAGATTACTTTAATAAGATAGTAGAAAAGTCTAGATAAACGATGTATGCTTAATATAAATATTGCATCAAGCTAGTTGCAGACATTTTATATAAAGCGCTTTTATATAGAAAAGTGCTTTATTTTTTAATGTAGACATTTTATATAAGCCTTCTTCAAAGTTATAAAATCCAATTGCATGCATCTGAGATTATTTTGATAACTCAGAAAAAAATTTTATGTTTTGAAAGATTCATTTTTTCTTCACTTCTTTTCAGTAAATAAAAAAGTCTGTAACTTAAACAACTTCAAATGGTATTTCTAAATTCAAATGGTAGCGCAATAGCGTTTTAGGCAAACTAAACTAAACTTAGGCAAACTGGACCCTTAGTCGGCAAATCGGACCCTTTTAGACTAGTTAGTCGACAAATATGGCCCCTTTCGTCATAGGTTAGACAGTCGGCAAATGTCGTAATGGCAGTCGGCAAATTTTGGAAAGCGAGGACCTTTTTTTTTTTTTTTTTTTTAATCGGCAAAAGTTGTAATGGCACCCCCCCCCCCCATGTTACACCTACTCGCGCCGGCCCTGACTTTACTTATTCAGGTTGAAAACTGTCACACGTGAAATTTTCGATAATTCGGTACTATACGGTAATATACCGATATTTCTGAGTGTTACCGAATATTCGGTAGCTCAGAAATATCAGTATTCGGTAAAATCGGTATTCAACTAAATCAAATTTTTAGCTTGAACTGATTTAATTGAATTGATTTGCTAGTGATTAGTTTTTTCTTTCGAAAACACAAGAAAAGGAAATACCTTGATTTGTGACGTCCAGTGAAAACACGACACTTTTTTCAATTATTTTCATGTCCAGTGAAAACATGACATGTTTTTTTTAATTAATTAAAAAAATGTAATGTTTTCGCTAAACGTCACAATTAAAAGTATTTTTTTTCTCGGGCTTTCGAAAGAAAAAACATCTTTAAAAATATTTTTTACATTCAAAATACAGAAGAATTTGGTCATTTATGACTTAAAAACTATTGTCATCACAAAAGTATAGAATTCTTTAAAAGAAAACTTTTTTTTATTTTAGTTTAACAAAAGCTAAATATGAAAGTAGTCATTTTAGTTAAAAAGAATTTTGTGAAAAAGGTTTAGAATTTGTTAAGGTAGTTTTCTATAGAAACCATCTTAACTATTTGCACCTTTAGTATATGTGCTAATTTAAACTACACGTGATTCAAATTAGCACATATACGATAGTAAATTTAGATCTATTAAAATTGTTATTTACTGATGGTTATTAATCTATTTGTTGCGCGTTTTATATTGAATTTAACACGCGTTTTAAATTTAATTTAAATCGAGAGAGAAACCAGTCTATTTATACTGAAAATGCTGACTATGCATAATATACTATTAATACGCATGCGTCGGATTGCGAGCAAACGTTGTACATAGGTATAAAATGAAATATTACGCGTGGTTGGCAACCGTTGAAGAAATTGAGAGCTATGTTAAAATTAAAATAATTATTTTTCACTTAGATAGTGGATAAGCTCTGAAATAATTCCTTTTAATATCAAAATGGATGATATATTGTCTGCAGCTCTCGGACAAAGTGGTTTAAATTCATCATTTTTAGAAAACCAAGATGGTGATAATGGCGGTTTTAACGTAAATGGGGCAGAAATCTTCCCTGTTGTTAATATTCCTACTCATGTTAAATCGATTATACCCCCAACAAATATAGGTTACGATATTGGTGATGATCTAACGGAATTTTTATGTATGTTAACAGACTCAGTAAATGATATAAAACAAAACACAAATGTAAATGCAAATACTAACAGTAATGGTATTAAGCATGTTAATACAACTACTAATGAGAGTGAAGCAATAACTGGAGATGTTGGAGAAAAAGAAATGCTTGATTATTTTTTTAAATCAGATGAAGAGGATGAAGAATCTGTTCCTTCGCCTGCTACCGAAAATACTTCTGTTCTGTTTCACCCCATAAATATGTCATCTATGTTTCAAACTCAAAAAACTCAAAAAAATTCAACTTTAAGTGTGCAATTTCCTAAATTGGTTTCATCAAAAACTATTGTAACACTTCCTAGTGTTAACAACTCTGAATTTTTTCAGAATCATAATATAATAAAAAACTCTTTCAAAACTAAAGAGGGAAAACAAATAATTTCAAATAATTTTCCAGCTTATGACACACTATCCCCTAGAAGTGTTGTTATGAATACACCAAATAAAACTGTTAAAAAGTTTCAGAATAAAAAATCACCACCTGGATCATCAGGTAAACCTTTGACATTTGCTAATCCAAAAAGCCCTTCTGACATTGAAAAAAAAAGACAATCAATTCAAAAAGTTTTAGCATCTCCAAATTTAACAGCAAGAGAAAAGCAATTTATAATGAAAAGTGCAATATCTCATAATATAAATGCAGATGCGATTCAGCTCCCTTCAAGTCCGAAGTAATTAAATTTTTATGAATCATTTTTTGTAATTCATTGTTTTAATATTCAATTAAATTTTAATATAACTTTAATATTTAAGTTATTGTTAAGAATATTTAAAAGAATAATTAAGTTTATCAGGGTTGAGAGGATATGATTGAATTTTATTTACTAGTTATTTTTTCGAAAATGACATATATATATATATATATATATATATATATATATATATATATATATATATATATATATATATATATATATATATATATATATATATATATATATATACATATATTAGTGATGTGCCATCGGCAAATGCCAATTGAGGCTAATAATAGGTATAATGTATTTATTTAAGGATATTTTAATAATATTAAAGATACATATTTAAGATGTACCTATTCATCAGAAGTGATTCGACCTACTAGCCTATGCTATTGGTAACCAGCAACCGATTATCTGCTTGACCATTTGTCGATTAATCAACTGATAGCATCGGTTATATATATATATATATATATATATATATATATATAGCAATTATGGAAGTGTTTGTAATAGAAAGATATGCAACATAACAATAATATTTTCTTACAACCTTTTCATTATTAGTCAGTAGGGAATGATAATCTGAAAAGATGTAAAGCAGAAAATTTAGTAGGAGTGTTGTAGTTATTCAATATATGGATTATTAACAATATTGTCATAATTATTGGTAGAAAATAACTGAGTTTTGCTATGAGATCAGATTAAAGATTAGCTGCCTGTTATAAGCAATCAAAAAGCAAATTGAGCCACTGTATAGGTAATATTATCAGGTAGATCAGTAGACCATGTATAAAACCTTGTATAATACCAGAAGTTACTGAAAATGATGAAGTGCTGTTCATCAAGAAAAACTTTAAAACTATGAAGGAATGAAATGGTATAATAGTTTTTCCCAGATAAAGCATGTGCATTGAACTTATCCAGCATGCAATACTTGCTTACATGCACAATATATGCAATACGCTTAGGCAGCATGCAATACTTTTTAGAAAGCCTTTAATATGTCAATAGCAGTAGCCCTTGTGTTACTGCTTCCATCTAAGGCATTTTTCAGTTATAGCATTTAACATTCCAGCAGTAGAGCAAGAGGTTTAAAATTTTATTGATTGTCAGAGAGTAAGTTGTTAGACTTATGAAATGAAACATTAGAAATTTATTATTAAATAAATTTCTAATATTTCATATGGATCAATTAGCTTCTTTTAGATATTAGGAAGAGCAGAATGTTAGACTTTAATTTTGACATTAAAAAATGATTCCACTCTAGAATCAATCAGCAATTCTGTCATTTGGTATGCCTAGCTCTGGCTGTTATAAACCTGAGAGCATTGTAAAACAGGATATTAAGGAAATTTATAAAATTAATACAAGTATTGGAAAAAAAACCACAATCTTCATTTGTCCTGGTTGATATTTTTTCTTACCTGATTTTTACATAATTGGGCTTAAGAAGCAGTAGAACAAGAGGTTGCAATACTCAATCATGCTTCAAAAGATTTTTATTTGATTATCAAAGGTTTTTCTCTGTTATAAAATTGGATTTTGGCATTTGGTTTTTTAATAAACTTTATATACTGAGTAGAAATTAAAAATATAATTGCCACTACTTAAATCCTGGAAAATGATGATCCAAAAAATGATCTTTTTTTGGATCATCATTTTCCTATATTAATGGCTCAAGGGGTGGGGTCAAAAGTTATCAAGTATATTTTTTATACAATTGCCCAAGTTTGGGGGTATGGTTTTTCAGATTTAAAAGTTTACTTTTTTTATATTTATCTAAAATAGATATGAGAGATAAAGTAAATGATTTAGTAATTTGAGTATAATCAATTTTAGCGCCAGACAGTATCTTTTTTTAGTTCTCTAAAGAGTTTTTGTAGAAAAGTTGAAAAATTTACAGTTAGAAACAGCAACTGAACAATCATTTTTGCTAATGAATGTAACACAGGTTTGTATGGACATTCTCTTCCTTCCATTCCAGTCAAACAGGTTGACCCATTGTTAGACATTCAAATCACTCTGGCTTCTGTTGCTAAAGTCATATCTCAATTAAACTCGTCTACGGCTTTTAGTCCAGACAACATTCCTGTCACAGTCTTGCAGAATTGTTCTCCAGAACTTTCTTCAATTCTCTCTAAACTATTTAACAAGTGTTTGACTGAGTCTTGTTTTCCTGCTTGTTGGAAAATGGCATCTGTGGTTCCAATATTTAAAAACTCTGGAGAAAATTCTGACCCCTCCAATTATCGTCCGATCAGTCTTCTTTCTGTTATTAGCAAGGTCTTGAGTCTTTGATCAACAAATTCCTCACATCTTATCTTCAGTCAAATAAACTACTGTCTGACAATCAATATGGTTTTCGATCCTCTTGCTCTACTGCCGACTTGCTAACTGCTGTAACTGAAAGATTTTATCGTGCATTAGATGGAGGCGGTGAGGCTAGGGCTATTGCTCTCGACATATCTAAAGCTTTCGACAAAGTTTGGCATGCTGGTCTTCTCCATAAGCTTGCTTCATATGGTGTTTCTGGGAAAGTTTTTGAGATTATCAAATCATTTCTTTCTAACCGGTTTATTAAAGTCATCCTTGAAGGCCAACACTCTTCTTTATTTCCAGTAACTTATGGGGTTCCCCAAGGTTCCATCCTGGGCCCTGTTTTGTTTCTTATCTACATAAACGATCTTCCTGACAACCTTTCATCTAAAGTAGCTCTTTTTGCTGATGACTCAACTTTATACTCCTGTCTTGACAAAAAGTCTTCTCTTTTCGATCGCCTAAAATCCGATCTCACTTCAGTAATAGATTGGGGTTCACAGTGGCTTGTGAATTTCAACTCTAACAAAACCCAGTTGTTTACTGCAAACAACTACCGTAGTATGGTCACCATTCCTATATTGATGAATGGCAATCCTCTTACTGAGTCGTCCTCTTTACGTCTTCTTGGATTATCGCTTACTACTGACCTTTCAAGGAAACCATATATACAATCGATTGCTAAATTAGCTTCTGTTAAGGTTGCTTCTCTTTATCGTGCTCGCCATTTCCTTACTTCTGATTCCATTCTCTACCTCTACAAATCTCTTATTCGCCCCTGTATGGAATACTGTTGTCATATTTGGGCTGGTTCTTCTAATGATTCACTTTTTCTTCTTGACAAGGTCCAAAAATGCATTGTAAATGTTGTTGGACCTGGACTATCTGCTAAGCTTGAACCTCTTTCCCATTGTTGTAAAGTTACATCTCTTTCTCTTTTCTACAAATACTATCATGGCCACTGCTCAAAAGAGTTATCATCTCTAGTTCCATCAACTAAAATTCATTCTCGCTTTACTCGTCATTCAACTAAGTCTCATTCGTTTACTTTATCTGTCCCTGCATGCTCTAAAAACTTTTATTTATCTAGTTTTTTTCCCCGCACTTCAATCCTTTGGAACTCTCTCCCATCTTCATGTTTTCCTGACTCATACAACCTTCAACTTTTCAAGTCTTCTGTCAACCGTTTCCTTGCTCTATAACTCTTTTCTTTTTTTTCCTAGTAATTCCCAACTTAATAGTGGCTGCTTGCAGCCTTGTTGGGAGTGAATGCAAATAAAAAAAAAAATCGGTCAACCTATAAGATAAATAAAGGGTGGAAGGCTGGTCAACAAAGGTTTTTTGCTTAATCTAAAGTCTATAAGCTTAATCTAAAGCCTAGAAATTTTTATACAAAAGCATAGCAGTTAACATCTGCCAAAAAATGAGTATTTTCATTCAGACTCTATCTCTAGCTTTTAAACAGCTTTTGCCTTTTAAAGTCAGAATTAACTTCTCCTTTTGCCTAAAAAAGCATAAGTGGTAAGATAGGAAATCATGAGCCAAGTTGTATATATATATATATATATATATATATATATATATATATATATATATATATATATATATATATACCCATATAGTGTAGCTTTAAGAGCATTTTAATGTAAAAAAAGTCTCTTACGACTACAATTTTAATTACCTCGTCTCTTAAGCTGTTTTTGATTGTCATCGAAATGTCAAAGCAATTAATTTATGCGGAAGTACATTAAATTTAATTGTTTTTTAAAAAATTTTTAAAAAACCGCAATTATAACGACTAGAAAGTTTTTTTTAATTAGTGGTGTTTTTGTTATTGATTTAATAAAAAAAATTTTTAAAACATGCGTAAATGTTGCTACATCGACTATCTTATAGCCTGACTTGCAACGGAGTGCTGCTACATCGACTGACAAATAGCCTGAGTCGCAACGGAGTGCTGCTACATCGACTGACAAATAGCCTGACTCGCAACGGAGTGCTGCTACATCGACTGACAAATAGCCTGACTCGCAAGGGAATGCTGCTACATCGACTGACAAATAGCCTGACTCGCAAGGGAGTGCTGCTACAACGACTGACAAATAGCCTGACTCGCAAGAGAGTGCTGCTACATCGACTGAGGGTTTGGTTTGGCCAGGCAGTCTATCAATTAAAAAAAAATATATATATATATTTCAGTTATTATGTATATATATATATTTCAGTTTTTATTTTTGTAATTAAGTTAATTTTGTTTTAGATCTATTTCTTCAGTTCTGAAAAACTCATCAACTGTAAGTGGTTCTTTTATGGTCTAAATGTTCTTTATTTTTTAAATTGTTTTGTAATATTTTTTACATTAAGACTTCAATACTTTTACATAAAAGTTTATATGAATAGCCCACTGCGAGAAGGTGCAAAGAAACCTTTTTTTTTCTTCTAGTAAAAAAGTAACTTGCTTTATACTATAGGATTTTTTATATAAATAAAAAATCCTAGTTACCTTTTTGTACTCTTTTTTTATGTAACTTGCATTCATAAATAGCCAGTATTATTTAAATACTTAGATAAGTTTAATTTTAAAAAGTGCGTAATAAAGATTTGAATAAAATTTTATTTTATTAATAATCTTATTTTATTGAAATTCTAAAGGTGCATTCCGTTATAGTAGACTTTATTAAAGAATATTTAATTTCAATTTACTATGTTTTTTTTTTTAAAAATTATTCATTGATATTAATTTTTCTCAAAGTTGTCTCCATCAAATGAATATGAAGAAGATGATGAAGATGAAAATGAATTAGCACACACAGATACTTTTGCTGAATATATGCCTAGTAAAGTAAAAGTTGGTTTTAGACATCCAGATCCTGTTGTTGAAACTAGGCATGTTTATATAAAGTTTTCATTATGTTTAATATTGTATAATATTTAAAAGAGTTATTAGTAAAAAATGTAAATAATAGTAATTTATATTCTCAGTTATTTAGTCATGGTTTTAAATGAAACATAATTTTTTAATGTATTTTTAAATTAGTTCAATGGCAAGTGTTCCACCTCCAGATGTCTGGTACAATCTTTTATTGCCTCAAGATGTTGTTTTGGAACGTAAATTGTCAGCTCTTCAGCTTGAATCTGTGGTATATGCATCGCAACAACATGAGCAGCTACTACCAAATGGCAAGCGAGCAGGTTTTTTGATTGGTATGATTATCATCTTTTTTTAGAAAATCTTATTTTGTGAGCATAATTTAAAAGCTCTATGTAATTTTTTCAAATTTATTTTTACTATTTGATTAGAAATTTTTTTTTTGTACTATATTCTCCTACACAAAAAGAGCACTGGCATATATGAAAATTTATAAAAAAAAAAAATCATACAAATAAATTTAATTAAATGATTTTTTTTGAAAATAAGATACTATGAATGTATTCTTTAAATAAAAGTAGTTCCTTATAAACTAAAATGCACAAATGTTTTACTGTAACCACCAAACAAACACAGCACAGAGGTTTTATAAACACAAGACAAATTAAATAAGAAAATATTTAAACTCATATATACGTTATTTACTATTTCTTTACTAATCGTTTAAAAAAAATTCTACCTTCAAAAATTTTGTTCATTAAATCAGATTTATATAGCAAAAAAAAAGCAAAAAAAGAAACTAAGAATTATAAGCCAAATTCAAAATAGTTCAACTAAAATGTTTTTGCTTATATCTCAATATATAGTAAAATGTAAGACTTTATATTTTGAATGCTATGTTATATTCTAGCTTAAGACTGGAAAAAATACTATATAGAGCAAAAAAAATTTGATTTTATGACCACAGCACCTAGAAAATTTATTTTTATTGAGGCATAATAAAAAAAATATATTTATATTTATTTAGTAAGAAACAACATATTAAATCGACAAAGAAAGTAAAAAATTGTCTATACTTATATAGCAAGGTTTTTGAGTCTTTAATTAGCAAGCACTTAATCTCTCATCTTGAATCTAATAACCTACTTTCTGATCTTTTTGTTCTACTGCTAATTTTTTAACAGTAATAATGATAGGTTTTATTGTTCATTTGATAGATGTGGAGAGGTTAAGGCTATCACACTTGACATTTCTAAAGTCTATGATACAGTTTGGCATGCTGGTCTTTTCCATGAGCTTTCTTCTTACGGTGTATTAAGTAATATCTTTAAGATTATTGAATCCTTTCTTACCTATTGTAGTATAAAAGTTGTATTTAATGAATAGCACTCTACTTCATTTCTTGTAACTACAGGGGTTCCTCAAGGTTTTCAGTGGCTGGTGAAGAAAAAACTCAGATAAAACTCAATTTTTTTCTGCTAATCGTTATCACAATAATCTAGATCTTATATTTTTGAGCAGTGTGTATCCGATGAGTCATCTACTCTTTGTCTTCTAAGATTAACTCTTACTTCCGATCTTTCTTGGAAACGATATATCAAATCTAAGGTTGCATCTCTATCGTGCTCGCCATTTTTTTACTCCAGATTCTGTTTTTTATCTCTATAAATCACTAATCTGTTCTTTTATGGAATACTGCTGCTATATCTGGAATCTTTGGTCTTTGAATGACACCTTTTTATCTTTTAGACAAGGTGCAAAAATACATTGTAAACATAGTTGGACCTGCTCTTGCAGCCAACCTTCAAGCATTGGTCATAATGTTGCTTCTCTTTCTCTTTTCTATAAATACTATTATGAGTCCTGGTCTAAAGAGCTAGCATCTCTTGTGTCATCTACTAAAATTCATTCTCATGTTACCCGTCATTCAATTAAGTCTCTTTTTTTTCCTCAAACATCAGTTCTTTAGAATTGGCTCCCTCATCTTGTTTTCTTGATTCATATAATTTGCTATCTTTTAAGTTGTCTGTTAAACATTATTTTGCTTTATAAACTTCATCTTTTTTCTTCTAGTAACTTCCAACTCTAATAGTGGTTGCTGGCATCTTTGTTAAAATTAAAAATATATAAAAAAAATTCTATTGTAAAAAGCTGTACAAATAACTATCAAACATTATGGCTAGATTATTTTATATGAACTTTTAAAAAAAAATTAATCTGTATTTGAATGTTAATTTGAGTTATTTGTTTAATACAGGAGATGGTGCTGGTGTTGGAAAAGGAAGAACTGTTGCCGGTAAGAATCAATTTTGTTAAGTCATAATTTTGTTTTGTTATAAATTTAGTTTTTTTTCTTTACAGTTCTATTATTCTCATTAATTCTTATTATCCAGCAACTACGGGACAAACTAACTTTTGGGTTTAAGAAAAAGTTTTATAGTACCTTATTGCTTTTCCAGGTGATACTAAAAATTTAACTCCAGATAATAAAATCAAAAGATTTAATTAAAGATAATTAGAATTTTTTTTTAATCTTTTCATCTTTCATTTGTTAGCAGTTTAATTAATAAATTTTGATGGTTAGATAAATGACAGCAAAACACAATAACAATTTTGGGTAAAAATATTTAGATCAACAAAAAAAATTTTTTTGGTTATATATGATTTTAGAAATATATATTTTCTGTTGTTATGTCTGTCTCTCGTTAAGTCTGCATAAATATTGCTCATTGCATAGGATCTATATATTCTAACAAAAACAGAAGAAAAAAAGTAAGCAATAAAATAAGTTTGAATATATATCGTTGGCGATTAGGGTGTGTCATTTTTTTCTTCTGGAATAAAAATACTGATGCAATTAAATCGCAACTATGTATTTGAATGCATCAGTATTTATTGATAACATTTGTCGATAGTAAATTTTACTAAAGCCTAATAAGTTATATAAGCTTATAAAATTACACATTTTTTCTGATAAGACTTAAAACTTTTATAAATGTGTTTTTAAAGAAACTTATCTATCTAAAATACGCGGCTATTTTTCTGGCATAAATATGACCTTTGGAAACTATCCAAAGTTAACATTACTAGTAAAAAACTTAAAATGAAAATGATAGCTGATGGTAATTAAAATATCTAAGTTTAAAAATACTCTATATTAATATATATAAGAAAGTTCAACAATTATTTGTCTGTTGTTTTTAACCCATGTGCTTTAGAATGTAAACAAAACAACCAGACTACGAGATATTATCTAGCCTTCCCAGGAAAGGTGTGCGGCTTTTCGTCTATGACTACACCAGAGTTTTTTATTTTAGATAACTTGATCACGGCATTTGTTTTATAATATTATTAATGGCGGAAAAAGTTTTAAAAACAAAAAAAGCAAAACTAACAAAATAGGAAATAAAAAGTAAATTTAAATAGAAAAAAATAAAAAGAAATTTATAATTTAACTAATTTATGTACTGTTTTTATTTTTGTTTCTTTAAAGTGGTTGTTACATTCAGCAACAAAATTAGATAAGGCGAAGTAAAAAAAAAAGTTTTAAGTCTACAATAAAAAGAATGATTTTCCTTTATTTAACTTTTTTTAAAGAGGAAAGCAAAAATATAAATTGCAATGTATTTGTAAAATATATTTATATAATAACAAGAGCAATCACGAAATGCAAAATCTGGAAAAATATCTGGTCTTCAAAATTTTAGTTAATACAAAAACATGTTCTTTGTTTTCAAGAGGGCGAATCAACTTTAATTTGTTAGCGAAAAAGTTATAAAAAATAAAACAATAAACTTAGGAATACAAAAGTAATAACATTCTAGTGACTAACTGCATTTTAAAAGTAATAATACTATAATAGTGTTATTACTTTTATAACGCACTTATAATTTTTATAATTTATTCTTTGTTCAAATAAGATAAGTTCTCCCAAAATTTAATTTAAGTAGTAAAGCATCTAGAAAAATATAGTGGATATCCAAATAATATTTAAAACTTAAGTAACATATAAAAACGTAAACGTAACTTTATCAAAATGTAATGTCTAAAAAGTTTAGCATTATTAAAAATGTTACTAATGATATGTATAAAAGTGCATTAATTTTCAAATCAACCAATAAAAATTTTTATTATTTGAAAATTAGTTTAAATTCCTATTTTGTTATTTTGTTTTTAAAATTTTTGTCAGCAACGGTCATACAAGACGAAAAACTGCACACCTTTCCTGGGAAGGGTTGAAATAATAAAAAAGCGTTATATGTAATTTAAAGATTAGAGCCCATTTTTTAAGTATATACAGAAAAATGGTCAATTTTTTAACTCTGTAAATTAAAAAGTATTAAAATTTCCATTAATGTTTATAATTTTGACCTTTAATCTAATATTTTTTAGGTATTATCTATGAAAACTATCTTCACGGTCGTAAAAGATCAATTTGGTATTTATTAATTTTTGATAAAAATTAATATTTTTTTAACATTTAATTTATTGAAAAACAAATTTTCTGGAATTTCTAAAAAAGTTTTTTCTTAGATTATAAATGAGATTTCCTGAGATTTTTTGGAATTCTGGAAATTTAGACTAATTTTATTTTTAGGTGTGATGATGTGTCATTATCTTAAAACATTGCAAGAAAAAATGCAGAGTTTTTCATAAAAATCAGTATTTTAGTTAAATTTTTAACTGAAAATTATAGTTTCACAATTAAAATTAAAAGTAATCAGTAAAAATACCACAAATATAAAAATTGTTTTTATTTTGCACCCCTTGCTGTTAGTATCTAAAATATAGTATTTAATTTCCTGGATTTTCATAAAAATTAAATGTCATCTTTATTACATAGGGTGGCTGGGACAGATTTATCAGGAAAAATTTTTGTGATCTTTTTTGACCAAGTGGTAAAAAAATCAAAATGTTTGTCAAGAGGCCAGAATTTAATAAATTTTGTTAAAGTCATGGAAAATTCAGAGTTTTGATGAATTTTTGACAACTATGAGTGCAAATTGAATAGTGTCTTGAAAATATTGGTGTTATGATTAGTTTTATTAGAAAGAAAACATTATTAGAAAGAAAATATTGAAAATATTGGTGTTATGATTAGTTTTATTAGAAAGTTAATATAACTATTTAGGTATTTGTTAGTATTTAGACAAATCTTATCTATGAGAATTATTTTTTGCCTCCCTTAGGTCACAGGGACTACTACATTAGAGGACTCTTTTGTTACAACACTTTTAATTTTTTAACTCAACAGCATGAGCCTTCACGAACTAGGCCAATGTTTGAAGAAACAGGTTTACATGGCGCACCCCAGAAATTTGTAAGCAAACTCTGTTAAGTTCAAAATGATAACTTTGCTGTTTTATAATTGGCTACTTTTAAGGAATTAAAATTTAACATTTAAAGGAATCTTCTGAGACATGTTGTGTTCATATTAAAGAGAATGGTTAAAAAAATGTTATGGTTGAATTTTTTTTTGATTAAAAACAAATAGATAAATGTGTACCAAGAAAAACTAACTTTTTTATTATAGTCGAAGCTCGTCTGTTTATTTGTAGGCTAAAACGTCTTCATAATATGCACCGCAATCTATAGACTTTATATTTTATTCAAGCGCATCATATTCCTAAGAGTTTTAGTACATGACAACATTGCTTATTTTGTTTGTGTATTGGCATAATCAATCTTTTAAATAAACAAAAAAATCTATAATGTCTTGTAATAAATTTTTTAGGAATAAAACCATTGAATAAATGATCAAGTCTGTAGATAGCGGTGTATATTATGAAGACTTTTTGGCCTACAACAAAACGGAGATGATAAGCTTTGACTAAAATAACAAAGTTAGTTTTTCTTAGTATGCATTTATTTTGTTTTAATCAAAAAATTTAACCCCAAAATTTTTTTTTTCATTCTCTTTAATATGAATACATGTCTTGGAGATTTGGGATCCCTTTAAAAAGTTTTCAAGCCATGCTTTTAGAGTCCATTCTCAAACAACTATTAAAAAAGTAAGATGACACCTTAAACCGAATTCATTGAAAGCATTAAAGACAAAAGATTTGTTGATTTTCTACAACAAAGAATAATGCCACTCCTAATATCACATCACAAATAGGAGATCCATCTTAGAGATAGATAAGTCTTTATTTTTCCTAGAGATGGATAAGTCATAACATTGTACATGTGAGGAATATAGAGATAACAATTTTTAATATAAGTAGTGGAAAAGTTTGTAGGTTTATTAACATGATAACTCAAGCCTTGTTATGATGTTATGGAAAAACATAATGCAAGTAAATGTAACTTTGCTCAATATCCATTTTTACATTGTTTAAAGTTAAATTGTGTCAGTTGCGTATTTTTAAGTAGCGCCTTGTAATTAATTTTAATTTGAAATCATGTTAAAAATCATTTAAAGTCTTCATCTATATAAAATATTTATAAAGTATCTTTAAATTTAAAGAAATTGTTGTAAAAAAAATTATCAATGAAATTTAAATGTTTTTTTTTATTTATATAAACTTATTCTATTTATATCTTAAAACATTTATAACACAACATTATTGTCTTAAGTTTGCTTTCTTACACTTTTTTTTTAAAAAAAAAAGGGGGGGGGGAGGGCAATTGTTTAAAGGAACGTTAAAAAAAAAAAAAAAAACTATCAATTTTTTAAAATATATTTTGGCTTTAACAAAATCTTCCTCTACTACTCATAAACTAGTTATTCATTTCTAATCGTGTTCATTCTAAGATCAATCATGATGATTATAAAAAAAACTTAAGCTAATAAGCAATTTCAAAACTAAAAAAAAAAAAAATCATCTTTTCATAAATTTACATAAAATTTATGAAAAAAATTCTCTAAATTAATTTTGCCTACAGGCTTGATTATGGTTTATCTGGCAATCCATTTATAAATAGTATACAGTTATAAACATTAAGCTCTTTTGTATGTAAGGACTTTAGTTACAGGATGAATAAAATTTATTGATTTAAAACTATAAATAATAAATGATAGTAAGTAAGTTGATATATAAAAAAAATAATAATAAAAAAATAAAACTATACATTAACAAAATACTTGAATGTAATACAAACATTAAAAAGTAACTAAAATTAAATTAGATAAAAAAAATTTCTTTTAACATGTTGCAAAATTTTAAAAGTTAAAAGTATTGTAAAACAAAACATTTTAAATTAAAAAAAAATTTAATAATATTTAATAATAAATTTAATTTAAATATAATTAAATTAAATGTTAAATTTAAAATATTATTTCACAATTGTGGTGAAAATGTTTTTTACTACAATTAGTTACTGCATAATGTTTTCTGCATAAACTGTTTATAAAGACTGTTTAAATGAATTTTTAAATGTTTAAAATCTAATTGAAAAATGTTTTAGCATAACGTAAATGACTTAATGTGTAGGTGAAAATTCATTTTCACCTTCATGTCAAGCCATTCAGGCCATTAGTGTGAAAAATTCATATGGCACTATAATTGTAAGGTATTCAGTATTGTTTTTTAGGAGTTTTAGTTATATTAACTTAATAAGTTCTTTTAAATTTAGTCATTTCAACTTTTTAATTTTACCTTTTCAAATTTTAAAAAATAATTTTAGAATTTAATTCAAGTTTTGGAGATATATAAAAAGATAATAAAAGTATTAAACAATGAATAAGATTTGAATATATATTACGGTAAAAAAAAAGAAGATAAAATGTGGTAGTGGTGTAGTGTTAAAGCGCTTGCTTCATAAGCAAGAGGTTCTGAGTTCAATCCCCATCACGTCCCTGGTAGTAACGTCGCAGAGAAATGGGTTGAGCGTGGCTCAACTCGTTTCTCTGCACAGCAATGTTGTTTATCAGGGTTCGTGTTTCGGAGTTATAGAGTTAGAAGAGGATTTTAACCACAAATAAGTAGCCTCTTCATTTGTAGTGGCCTTCTTGGCCTTGAGGAGGTGAATTAACAATATATATATATATATATATATATATATATATATATATATATATATATATATATATATATATATATATATATATATATATATATATATATATGTTGATATTTTGTGTTTGTATTTTTAGATTTAAGATTTTTCTGTAAAAAGTTAAATTTCATTTACCTAAACTTATTGTTTTTATTTTTAATAATGTAACCATTATGGCACACAATAACTTAACCAATATTTTAGCGCACATTTTGCAAAATACCAAATGCTAATTAAAAGTTGTTGTTCTGAGAGCTTATGAACTTTACCAAGTTTAGGGTGCGCCATGTACAGGTCTGCCCAGGTTTAGTGCAATACTACCAGGGATTGATTGTGTATATTTGTAAATTTTTATAGCTATTTTTTTTTAAAGATTTTTTTTTTGATAAATTTTACATAGTAAAGTTTGGATTTGATTGTTTTTATCAGGATGTCAGTTAAAATGAAAATTAGCTGTCCACCTTGTTGTATTTCTTTTAATTTTTTAAAAATCTATTTTTGTAAAGGTATTCTTGTTTAGTTTTTTTTTGTTATTGTTCTGTAGAGTAAAACTCAACCAAAGTTTTCTAATAAAAAATATAATTAGAAATATATGACAAGTTAATAAAATAAAACATGCAATTTTTGCATTCATTCTTTTATAGTCTAGTTAAATTCTAATAAAATCGCAGGTTAGACAGCATTATAAATTTTTGTTCATAAGTATTTTAACAATTAACTCTAATTTAGAAATTAAATAATCTGTAATATAATTTTCAGATAATCTTTTAATTAATATTTTTGATGTCAAAAATATGCTGATTGAATAAAATTCAAAAAAGTTAAATGCCTTTGGTTGGTTTTACTTAATTGATTAAAGGAAAAAAATTAAATCATATTAGTAAATAATAATAAATTGCATTTTTCAGGCTCAGTGTTTCAAACGACTTACGCTTTGATGCAATGAGAGATCTTAGAGATATTGGATGCCGAGCAAAAGTTCTACCATTAAACAAGGTAATTTTAGTTTTTTTTTAATTTTTGTTTAAATTGCAAACTATAATAAATTAATAATAAAATATATAAAAAGATTATTATTTTCCAGATATTATTGTTAATGTTTTTTGGAAATCTAAAAGGTTTTCCAGAAATACGAGTTGAAAAAAAATTTAAATGAAATAGGAGTTAAAAAAAATATTTTAAGTTGCATAAGACTGAAACTGTTGAAAGCCAAAGGGTTTAAAAAAATAATAAGACTTTTTTTGTTTAAACAATTTTAGCATATCACTTTGCTTATAAACCCTTTTTTAGACAAAATCCAAATGTTTTTTCTAAAAATGCTTCCACGTTGGCTATTCAATCGAAATATTATCTCTTGTTCAACTAATCAAACCCAATATTGTGTGTTTCATCATTCTGCCAAGTTTCATCCTATTGCTGTAGTTGTTTCTTCATGCTCAAAAATATTTTTCTCACATCTTTTTCATTGGAATTCTTTGCTTTATTTTTTTAAAGATTTAAATCTTTTAAAAATTTGGATTTTTTTTTACTTATAATTGATTATTTTAAGTAAATATAAAAAAATCAATTTAGTTTTTCTAATATTTTTGTTGGTTATTGACTGGCTTTAGATTTATATATCTGTTTTTTGTTTTAGTTTAAATATGACGAAAAAATAACATCTAAAGTTAATGGAAAGTTCAAAAAGGGTTGCATCTTTTCTACATACTCAGCATTGATAGGTGAAACAAGTGGCAACTCCCGTTTCAAAAGTCGGCTTGATCAGCTTCTTCACTGGTGTGGGGAAGATTTTGACGGACCGGTATCTTTCTCATTATAAGTTATACAATTTAAAATTTTTTTTTCTAAATTAGCCATAAAATTTGTTTGAGTCTTCTTCACATCAAAGATATTCTTTATTAGGCATTTTAAAAATTAAATAAAGTAAAAAAATTAATAAAAATAATAAAGTTAAAAAACTTTAATTCTAACCTGGAGTTTTGGATGTAGTTGAAAAATACCTATTTTGGGTAATTTTGTCAATGTCTTTGCTGTTTAAATATAACATCTAGTGACCTGTAAAACATTTCAATGTCAAATGTAAAATAATAGTAAATGTCAAGTTAGAAAAATTAATAACTGCTTAAGACTGATTAAAAATAATTAACATATCTAAGATTAGTTCTAGCTCATAATTATTTTGTAGATGAGTGCAGGCTTGGCCAGGAAGGCGTGAGATTTCAAGTCTTTATATGACCACTCAAATAATATTTTGCTATGATGATTTAGCCACGGCTTTTAACAAATGCCCTAAAAAAATGGTTTTTTAATTACGTTGAAAATAAATAAATTTGATGCGTTTATCTTTATTAACGTTTTTATTTTAGCAAAATGCTTTTAAATAAAGATTTTAATTACCATTGAAAGTTGTATATTTCTTTATTTATATTATTTAATTATATAAGATTTTTTTAAAAGTAAAAATAAAAAAAGTAAAAGTTATTAAAAAAATTTTTTTTTTTAATTTTTGACTTTAATAAGCGAAGGTCTCTAAACTTAATACACGAATCATTGAAGTTTTTTGAGAAGAAAAAAAAAAAACTTTTTTGAAAGCCGTTTGAATTAACTAACTTCGATCTTTACTTACGTTTTTATTTTATTGAATTTAAATAAAGTAACAAGTCACTGCTGATGATTTTTTATTAAAACATATATATTTTTTTAAAAGTATTTATTTTTTATTATGTTTTTAAATAACAAAAAAATTAAATAAAAATTTAAATTGAACAATTTAATTATTTTTGAAGAATTAAGAATCTTTTTTTAAACTTTTAAATTTGCGTGTTTATTAAACAATCGTCAGTTGTTACTTTATTTAAAAAGCGTTTCGCATAATTGGCATAATTATATTGAAAAAGCATTAGTAAAGATAAACGGTTTAAAGTTATTTTTTCCAAACGTTATTTAGATAATCTTATTGTTATAGTTTATTAATTAATGAAGCTAATTTTTAATTTTATTTCTGCTATTTTAGTTATTTTATTATTTTTTTTTTTTACCAAGATTTACTTGCTTCTTTTACGATAAATTTTTTTAAAAGTTTTTTTATAGTTAAGATAATTTTTTTAGCACGTTTTTAAAACATATACAAATTTTCAAAACATATTAACATCTGTGGCCAAGTTAAGTAAAATCAAATAGTATTTACGTGGTCATATTATGACATGAAATCGCACGCCTTCCTGGCCAAACCTGGATGAGTGTATATATATGTATTACTAATTTAAAGTTCAAATTTGATAAAAAATGTTTTTGTTACCTGTTTTATTTACAAGTTAATAAAAGTAATTCTTAGTGTTTGGTGTTGATAGATAATTTTAGACGAGTGTCACAAGGCTAAAAACTTAATGCCTGCTGGTTCTTCAAAACCAACAAAGACAGGTATTACGGTGATGAAGTTGCAAGATATGTTGCCAAAAGCAAGAGTTGTATATTGTTCTGCTACAGGTAATGGGTGTGAAAAGTCAAGTTTTTTAATTTTTTTTAATTTTTTTTTTTGATTTTATTTTCAAGAGCAATAAAAACTGTAAAACAATTAAAATTTTTTTTTTTTTTTTACTAACTACAAGAAAATTTTATGCTTTTAAAAATAACTGTTTAAATTAAAAAAAAAATTTTTAAATTAATAAATGTGCTTATGTTATTTAATTTGAAACTTAACAATTTTAAAAACAATTTTTTTAGCAAAGTTAATAATTTAGAATAAAATTGATGTAATATTTGTATGTAATGTATATTGTTTATGAAACAAATCCCTTTAAAAAATATAAAAGTTTGATAAACTTAAAAAAAACTGTTTCTTTTTTCAAAGTAAATTTAGCAAGAAAATAAAACATTTTTAAAAAATGTTGAGAGTTTTAAAAAGCTCATATGACTTAATATATGTATTAAATAAACTACTGTTAACCATTAGTATTCCGTGTTTAGAAGAATTGTTTTTAAGTAACTTACACAAACAACATAAACTACATGGCCCTAAATAAGTTTATTGAATAAAAATTTTCATAGAATTGTTTACATTTTTTTTAAAAGTAAACAAACAGTTTTAAAATATCATCTCAAGTAAAATTTTTTAAATGTTTTTAAAAAATATTTTTTGTGCCTCAAATTATGCATTAAATATTTAACAGTATATCAACAGTATAAAAGTATGTCAGCCCAAATATAATTCCAAATTAAAATTTAAAATCAAATATTTAATAGAACAATGTTTCAATATATTATTTAATTTTTTTTTTTTTATTAAAAAAAAAAGAAAAGAGAGATTAAAAGATGTAAAGAGATTACTTTTAATGATCCTTTTAAAGTTCATAACTTTAAGTTAAGTGGTTTATTTGTTTGAAATCAGGAAAAAGGCAACTTATGTTTTTTTGTGTTTATTTATTGTAAAAAAACTTAATGAAAATGTGTTGAAAGTATGAGATTAATGTTTATATATATATATATATATATATATATATATATATATATATATATATATATATATATATATATATATATATATGAATATGTTTCTTCAAAAAATAAAATAAGAAGTTTTTAAATATTTTCTGAAAAAATTCTATGGAGTAATCATCTTCATACTTGGACAACTATGAGTATCCAGTTGTGATCAATATTGTTTCACTTGCAATCCATTTTGAAATAAAAATAATTCTTTTTTATATTCTTGTTATATACTGTTTTATAATATACTTCTTTTGTATATAGATTTAGTATTTTGACATTATTTATGAAATTCTTTTAACTTATCATTAAAAATATTTATATGGACCAAAGATGGACAATACTTTTGCTATTATAAATGTTATATAGCATGTTTTGTTAATTTGTTAGGTGCATCTGAACCAAAAAACATGGCTTATATGAATAGACTTGGGTTGTGGGGAAAAGGAACTGCTTTTAAAGAGTTTACCGATTTCATTCAATCTGTTGAAAAGAGGTTTGTTTTGCTCTTTTTAGAAAAGATTTAAAATTTTTTTTCACCAGTTTAGGGTTTCATGAAGACAAATGTTTCTTGATATAAAAGAATTTATGAAGAATGCTAATTGTTATCAATGAGAAAATATTCCTCTTAAACAAATCTCAGACAAACAATAATAATACAAAATCGGATGAAGTTCCAATACTTTTAAAAATGACAAATTGACAACATTAATTTTAAAACTCACTCTGAACTAGGGTTGCCAGACATCCAACAAAAGGAGGACACGTCCCCCTTTTTTATCCTTTGTCAGGCATAGCTGAAAATATTTAAGTTGTCTTACTTTTTTTTATTGTCTTGATTTATCCTACAGTTTAAATTGTCTTAATTTGTCCTACAAAACAAATGAAAGTTGGAATATAATTTCATTCCATTTAAAACTTTACTAGCTGTAAACTTTTTTGAGTTGTAGTATACAGGCAAAAGAATTGCAAAACTTTAAAAAAGTAAAGGTCTATTCTTTTTCAATTAAAACGTTTTTAAGCACATTTTGTCTTTGTCAGTTTTCACTTCTGCTCTTATAGCAACAACAGCACTTAAATTGAATTGCTACTTTCTTTATAAAAATGACTTTAATTTCTACAAAAAGAAAAATGAAATGCTTTGCTAAAGAGCGCAACAAGAATGAGGCAAAAATGTGATAGCTTGTCACTAACAAAGTAGCTACTAATTTAGGCCACCATGTTAACAGTGAAAAACATAAAAACCTAATTAAAGTGTCAGCGTCATCAAATAAATTAACATTCTTTTTTTAACCTAAAACTCTAAGGTATTGCAGAAAGCCCAGGCAGCTGAAGCAACTTTGGCATTTCATATAACATTTTCTCATTTAACATTAACGGATATTATACATTTTTTTGTTTATTCTCATATAATGTTAGTACCATTGCTAGAGGGTCAGAGTCTCACCCCAACATAAAAAAAGCTATAAGCCCCCTCCCCCCTCCCTTCCCTAAAAAAAAAAAAAAGTTAAAAATCTTCCTTTATTTGGTATTAAATAAAATTAAGTATGTTCTTCTTTTGGCTTTTTTATGTCCTCCTCTAGGTAATCGTATATCTGGCAATCCTTAACAACACAGTTTATATAAAAAAACTATGGCTGACTTTTAACTCAATCATTGTATGTAATCTTAATTTTTTAAGTCACAATTCTACTTATGATTTTGTATTATTATTTTCTATATTATCTATAGTTTTTCTTATTTTTCATTTTCTATATTATCTATAGTTTTTCTTATTTTTTTATTTTTCCTTTTTTCCCCTTACATTTAAAAAGTTCTTCATACAATGACTGACACAAAGATAAGTGAAAAAAGTTTACACATTTAGCAGGTTTTTATTTGGGTAAATTATAATTTAAATATAAAAACAAAATTTATTTATAATAACACTTCCTGATTATAAAAAAGAGAAGTAAAAAGGTTGCACTAAATAGCAATTAAAATATTTGAATATGTTTTGATAATACAGTGTGCAATATCAATCTAATTGGGTTTATTAATTATAAGTTATTTGTAAAATAAAAATAATTTTATTTCAACAAGAAGTAAAGCATTTTTAAGAATGTTGCCAAAAATTTAAAGTTTATATAAAATAAAAAATGATCAATACTGTTTTTTGGTTTGGGTTTGGTTATTAAGTTAATATCAGTTGGGTTTATATTATTAAATGTCAGTATTTGATTTATTTTGATTATTTTTTAGATTATAAATTAAAGATTCACTACTGTATTACTAGCAAAACTTGTATATTTTTTATTTATTTTTTAAAATATAAAATTTAAAAGTACTATTAGTACTTGCTAAATACTAATTGCTTTTTTTAAATTAGAATAAATGAATTTTCAGTCTGTTACAAAATTTTGAAAATTGATTGTCTTATTTCTTTGTCAAACATTATTTATACTGATTGTGAACTTGGCACTTTCTACAAGAATACTTCTTTGAGTACAAATTTTTTTGTATATGTTTTTTGATCTTATAATATAACCAGTGTATATTGAATAATAAGAGTTATTCAAGTTTATAAATTTTGTTCAAGGGGTGTTGGGGCAATGGAAATGGTTGCCATGGATATGAAGCTGAGGGGCATGTATATTGCAAGGCAGTTAAGCTTTTCTGGAGTAACCTTTGACATAAAAGAAGTAAAACTTTGTGCTTCTTTCATTGAAATGTATGATGCTTCAGTTAAGTTATGGCTTGATGCTAGAGATAAGTTTGAAACAGCTGCTGATATTGTTGGATTAGATAGCAAGGGAAAAAAAACTATGTGGGGTCAGTATTGGTCTGCCCATCAGCGATTCTTTAAATATTTGTGTATTGCAGCTAAAGTAAAATCTGCCGTTGAAATTGCTAAAGAAGCAATTGAAAAAGGAAAGTGTATACTCTTTGGACTTCAATCCACAGGAGAGGCACGTACACTTGACCAACTCGATGAAATGGGTGGAGAGTTAAATGATTTTATTTCAACAACAAAGTAAGTACTTTTTGATTCATGCTAATTGAAAATGTATTTGTGTGTTGCTAAACTTTATTTTTTTTTTATTTAGAGGTGTCTTTAGTACATTAGTTGAAAAACACTTTCCTACAACTGTGGATTCTAAAGCTAATCACAATAACACTGATTGTAAAAGAAAGCGTGGTACTTTTTTTCCCCATTTTTATTTATTTGTAAAACAAACTAGGAAATTTCATTTTAGGATTTTAATTTAAAATTTCATTATTGCTGCAGTTATTTACAGTACTGTGCAGTTCTTAAATTCATAATTAAATTCATAAATCAACTTATTTATAACTTTATTTCAAATATAATTATTTTTTACTTTTACTTTTGTACAGAAATCAAAAATTTTAGCTTCTTGCCTGTCTTGTTAATTAACAGCATAAACTAAGTGTTGCTTAAACTTTTTAATACAGTTAACTTATGCTAATATTTTTAAAAAATAAATTTTTTTATTTGAGATCACTAATATGTAAATTAACTTGTTGAACCAAATACAGTTGTTGACTGTCTTATTTTAATCAAACATTTTAAATTTAAACAAGAAATAATTTATTTTGAAATAATTGTGAAGTTTTAATAAAATTGACTTTTATTATTCATTTACTATTGAAAAAAAAAAAACATGCAAAATTAGGTCTTTTTAGGAAAATCTTGCATGAGCAATTTGGAACCCTAAATGCAGAAAAATTTAATATCCATAAAAAAAAATAAATACGGCCATCTTTAGCTTCAACTTGATCATATATAGAAAACTGTTGAGCTCGCTGTTTATGAAGGATAATTTTAAAATTTGAAAAATTCATGAGTTTAATGTCTAGGTCATGCCAGTTAGAGTATATCCTATGGCTTTTTACTCTAAAAAGATAGTTATATTTAGTTTAGATCATTTTCTAGATAACAGATATCAATAAGATATGTCTATAGTTGCTTAGATAAGTTTAATTTTATTTTGTATAGAAGTAAGCTTGATATTTTCATGATTTTGCTTTTCCAAAAGAACACTGCAAGTTGTAATTATTTGAAAATAAAACCAATCACAACAAAGATATAAACAATCCACTAACTTTGCAACACATACAGGTTTACAGAGTCCACAACAACTGGTTGCCAGCAAGTCCAATCCAATTTATTAGTCAGTGAACAATATCTTTGTTTATGATTTTTTTATTTTAGTTTTATTTTGCAGACTGTTTGCAAATTGGCATTGTTTCATTATCACTTTTACTTCATTATCACTTTTACTTTTAATTTAAGTTGCAGCTAAAGATAAGTTTTAGTTATTATGATGTTATCAAACCCTTTTATCTGACTAATATTTTATTAGTCTGAAATGTTTTGAATTTGTTGAAATTTAAAGATTTTCTTTATATTTTTTATGTTGAAGAAAATAAAATAATTAGAATATTTCTCTAATTTTATTTGTTAGGTTCTGCAAAACACGCATAAAATGTTTTTTTGCATAAATAACATGTCAATCGTTATTAACTCAGAGAAATTGAAACTACCAATTAAATTACTTGTATATGTAATATAATCAACAAAAAGTACACTGTTAGATAAAGCTTATAGGAGCTAATTATTGTTCAATACAATTTTATCTAGATTGGAAGAAATCTCACAAACAGAAACGACGACGATATCAAGATGGTGTCGAATTTATGTCATCAAGTAAGTTCTTAACTATATTTATGTTTTTTTTTTTCTACTGCTGAAAATTTTAAAATGGTATAATCATTATAAATAGTGCATTTATAAAAAATTATTTTTATTTTAATTTAGGTGACTCAAGTGATAGCGAAAATGAATCAAAAAATGAGGCCAGTGATCTTATATTGTCTGATAGTTCAAATGAAAGTGAGGAAGAAGACTTTTCTTCAGGAAGCTTGTCTGAATCGGATGAGGGTATTAATTTATTATGTGAATAAGGCATTTAAATTATTTACTGATTGTTGTTGATGATTATCTATCACTAAGAAATATCAGTAATTTACAAAGGTTTTTGAATAAACTACTAGAAAAGGAAAATCTACTCATTTGTGAGTATATTTTAATAGCCTTTTAGTTTTGAAAATTCAGTAAAAATTGCCAAACTATGAGGTTTTAAAGCAGATATTTTAAGTAACTTACATTAATCCAAGTTAACTTTCATAATAAAACAAAATAAAGAATGCCCAAAGGTTCTTGATAGTGAAATATATTTTCTACAAATTTATATTTTTTACGGAACTATTATGAGACTACTTTTTTAATTTTAATTTTAACTAGAATTGAAATACAAATTTTCACATGCATGTGTCACAAAAACAGTTTTAAAGGGATTCTTTAATAGAATAATAATATTCTTATATTTAATACTGTTTTTTTCTTAATATAACAATCGTTAGCAGGATGATATATTAGAGTTACTCAAAATTATTATTTTAAATTTTTTCCTACTTTAAGCACTCTATATTTATAGATATGTATCAGGGCTCGAATTAAGCATATCGCGATTGCGAATCGCAATTGCTTTTTATACTTTTGCGATTAGTTTTTTCTTAAAACATATATTTTTGCAATTGGTTTACTTTTTTAGTTGTTTATTTACTTTTTTTCTAATTTAACTTTTTCTTTTGGCAATTCTTAAAAAGTAATGTTTTCATATTAAAGTTCGTCACGCAAAGTTTGAATAGAAGCATGATCATTTGCTCTTTTGCGAGGAGATTTTTATTCAACGTAAAGCACTTTTTAATTTAAATTACTTTAAATCTCTGCTTAGTAGCAAATTAAAAACACAAAAGTTAAACAAAATTTTTTCTTCATTCTATTTTTTTTAACAAAACAGCATTTTTATCTTTTTTTAAAAAAAACGTTGCTCCAAATTTACTTATTAATAATAAATTAAATTATCTTACAAACAATTTTATAAAATTATTTTTACTACTTTTAGTATAATAAAATATATATTAATTCGTTTTTATTAAATAAAATTTCTATTAGTAAAATTGTACTAATAGAAACCAGCAACTTTCACGTTTTTCGCTTTTAACGACCTTGAAACTATTGAAGTTAAATTTTGTTAACTTTACTGAATGGATAGAGTATATCACAGTAAATTAACTTATAACCTAAATTAAAACAACCAGTTAAGTTATTCTTTAGTTAACTTAATGTTAATTAACCAGTTAAGTTACAAATAATTAACCAGTTAAGTTACTCTTTAAGTTAACTTAAGATAGTTACTTTAGCCTTAAAAATCACTTATTCAAATAATTTTGTGATTGAAATTTGAAATTAAAAAAAAATTTAAAAATGTAAAAAAAGTTTGATGAAATAAGGGAGAATGAAGATGAAAATTTTTTTTTCGTAAATCGTAAATTTTGTTAACGTTTTGAATTATATATTTTATCTTGAAAATAGTTTTAAAAGTAGAAACATTCTATTGCAAACATCAAAGCTGTGATTGCAAATTGCAAGTTAAAATAGAAATTATAAAAATTTTAAATTAAATTTGATAAATTATTTTATTAATAAACAAAGCAGAAAAGCGGTAATCTTTCTTTAATTGCAGTTTTTATTTTATTAAACGCCAATTACTAAAATGCTTTAGGTAGCGCAAATGTTTTTTATAAAAAGAAAAACTCTTTCTAATTGTGTAATTTTGTAGTACAGGGAAACCCCTTAAAGAAAATCAACTATAAACCAGTGTCTCCTTATTAACTCTTATTCCTCTAGTTTTTTTCCTCAAACATTAGTTCTTTGGAATTCGCTTCCTTCATCTTGCTTTCCTGATTTATATAATTTGCAATCTTTTAAGGTGTCTGTCAATCGTTATCTTGTTCTACAATCTTCATCTTTTCTCTTCCAGTAACTTCCAACTCTTATTAGTGGTTGCTTGCAGTCTTGTTGGAAGCGAAGATGTTTAAAAAAAAAACACTCATCATTTTTGCATTTTCAACTAACTTGTTATATTTATTTTCATCAATGTTTTTGTAAAATACCATCAATTTTTGTTGATTACATGCCTCTCTTAAAACATCACTGCATTGAACATCAATTAACTCCATTCAAAATTTTTTTTTCTAAAAAAATAATTTAAGCATAGTCTTACACTTAATATAATTCGATTTATTAAACAAAATTTTTTGTTTCACTTTTTTTTGGAAAACAATTAGAATAAAAAAAAATTGAATGAAAACATCAGTTTAAAATAGTTTAAAAACCTTTTGAATGAAAAACTTAATTATACTTAAATTTTTAATAGTACGCTCGATCAGGAAATGGAAATTTATAAAAGCTGTGGTATCTAATGTTTTTTTGCTTTGATCTTACTTGTTTGGTCTATAGATTACAAACTTGTATAGGTCTATAGGCACAAATATAAAGTTTATTAACTAGCTCAATTTTATTTATTTGCTTTCTTTTATTTTAAATGCGTTTTATTTTATAAACTGTATAAATTAAAACGAAACAGCGTCACGAATATGTTTACATTATTCCAAGCTTTTTATATTTTTAAAACAACTTTGCAGATTGTTTTAATGTTGTTTTATAGCTTTTAACAATTAAATACTTTTTTAAATTAACACGTGTTTTAACGTCAGCATGAATGTATTAAATAGTTTTCTTTGACTAATTAAAGTGGTTTAGATATTTAAATGTTGCTTTTTCTCTTACGTTTTTACTTTTACTTTTTTAAGTATCATGTTAAGTAAAAATATACTTAAAGAAATATCTTAATAGTATTAAAAATGTTATTGCTTATTACAACTGCAACTTAAACTTTAAGTTATAACTTAAGTTGTAAATAATAACAGTAACTTACGCTATTTTAAACTCTGCCAAACAAGAAAATTATAAGATTATATTTAAATATGAGAGATAATATGTTAAAAATAGAACAATTACGTACAAAACTTACAATTATATAGTAACGCAACTTCCCTTCTCCCCCCCCCTCCCCCATTACCGCAAAGCGACGCAAGGTATGGGGGGTAGTTTTTTAGACTGGGCAACTTTGTTACAAAATTTAAATAGCAATTGCTTGATTTATAAATTTAAGTCCTTTGACCATGCATGTTTATAAAACACTAACATTTGTCAAGTTTTTTATGGCGAAAGTTTTTTTTCATTAGTTAATTATAAATTATTTATGATATATGATATTTATTTTGTAAAACAGGCAATATTATCAAACTTTTAATATGCATATAATAAGTTAAAAGTTATCAAATAATTTTTTTGTAAATCAAAAATAGTTTTTATTAAACTTTTTTTTTTTAGTGTTTAATTTAAAAATTGTGAATGATTTTTGTAAATATTTTTAAACAAAATCATGTGACCTTAACATCATACCGCTTAAGCGAGGAGTTTTTTTTCCATATGAACATAAGCTGAAATTCATCCCACCTATCCGAGTACCTCAGGTGGGATGCTTTTTCTTCATATGATCAGTCCCTAAAGACTTTTTTTGTGTTAGATATTTTGCTAATTACTTTTAATTTTTTTACTTGTTGATTTGGGGTGAGTTATCTCAAATAAAACCATCTTTCTGATCTTTTGTTTAACTTCAATACTTTTCAAATCTTAGTGTTTTCATTCATTTCTTAGTGACATTGTTTTTTCTTAGCTAAGAAATGACAAATTTCATTGTCATTTTTAGCAACTATGAAATTGGAAAAGCACTTTTGAAATTTTTGAAAAATTTGTTTTGTTTCTTACATATTTTTTTACATGTATTTGTATTTTTTTTGTTAATTTAATTTGTTCATTAATTTTTTTTTTCTGTATTGAAAAATGTTTGAAGATCCTTTTTTCATAAGACATACATTAATCACACTTAATTAAAAATATAATATCACATATAAATATAATAGCTTGTAATATTTTGTAATATTTATTTAATTCCAGATGCTTGGATGAAAGACTCCAGTGAAAAAAGATCTAAAAAATCAATTAAAAAACTTACGATTAAATGCTCTGTTGATCCAAGTATGAGTGCTCTTGCTGCTGCTGGGCTAAATGTTGGTCACAAATATTCATGGGCAAATTCAAATGAAAATAGCCTTGGTGATTTATTATTTTCACTTTAAAAGATTATATATATATATATTTTCTAAATAATTTTTAATGTAAAATTTTTATTCTAAATATTTTAGATGTTACAAAAAATATGAAAAGTAATCGCGCTAAGACAGCAACGCCTTCAGGTTTATCTCTGCGTTTAAATAATGTAAAACAAGTGTCATCTCACCTGGATCAAGTTCAACATTGTCAACAGATGAAGAAAAATTTACTTGATCAACTTGATGTTATTGCACCGTATCTGCCTCCTAACACTCTAGATGAACTTATAGATGAACTAGGAGGTCCTGAACATGTAGCTGAGGTTTAAAAAGAATATTTATCAAATTTTTGTTTTTTTGGATTTATGTACTTTAATTAAGGCTTCTGTATTTTATTTATGGCTAATGGTCACAAAAGTACTCTTAAAGGGATTCCAAAGTGCGTAGACAAGTTGTGTTTATGTCTTAAAAAATACTCAGAAAATTAGTTTAGAATTTAAACTATCAAAAAAAAAATTAGTTATCAAGATATTAAAAAAAAACTTTTTTGTAACTTCACTATCTTATTTCTGTTTATAAGCCTTGGTTTTATTTCTGTTTATAAGTTTTGGCTTTCTTCTTAGGTTTTTTTTTCTCTTTAAACCTATCTGGTTTGTTTACTGAATAATGTGTTCACCTTTGAGATTTTTTTAAACAATTTAATTTGCAAGCAAGCTTGGGTTTTCCCTCTTTAATTTGCAATTTTAATAAAACTTTTTTGCTGCATTTCATTTTATAAAGCATTTCAGTTCTCAGATATCACTTTTGACAAAATATAACTAAACTTTGTACACTCTTGACAAAATGGGAAATTTAAAAAAAAAATGCAGTTTTTTATTTTCACCAACAAATTTATTTTTATATTTTATAACCAAAAGTAATATTTTTGGTTTTTAGATTTTATTAAGATGAAAATTTTTAGTAAGATGAAACTTGTATTGGATTGTGTTAAGTTATGCCGTAACTTTGAATTTTATATTTTTGTTTTTTTTGTTATAGATGACAGGCAGAAAAGGTAGAATTGTTGCTAAACCTGATGGAACCTTTGGCTATGAACCCCGCAGTAAAGACGATGTACCGCTAGAGTTGTTAAATGTTGCTGAAAAGAAGCGTTTTATGGACGGAGAGAAAGTATATTTTATTTAATTAAAAAAGCAAAATTTTTATTTTAAGATATTATTTTTAGAAATAATATCTTAAAATAAAAATTTTGATATAAATATGAATAAATATGATTTCAGAAATATTTATTTTGTTAGATGATTTTTACAAATTCAACTCTTTTTAAAGTCATGCTTTATTTTATTTCAAACAAGTTAAAAATATCATTGAGAAAATTTATTTTTTTAAAATTCATATCAAGCAATTTTTGCTTTATCATTAAGACATAACTACTTAACTCAAGAAGTATATTAAATTAGTCATATTTCTTTTTAGTTGATTGCTGTGATTTCTGAGGCTGCAAGTTCTGGAATCTCTTTACAAGCTGACAGAAGAGTCAATGTAAAGTGTTGTTTACTTTTTTTTTTTTTTTTTTGTAAATAAATATATATATATATATATATATATATATATATATATATATATATATATATATATGTATATATATATATATATATATATATATATATATATATATATATATATATATATATATGTATATGTATATGTATGTATATATATATATATATATATATAATATATATATATATATATATATATACATACATATACATATACATATACATATATATATATATATATATATATATATATATATATATATATATATATATATATATATATATATATATATATATATATATATATACATATATATATATATATATATATATATATATATATATATATATATATATATATATATATATATATATGTATATATGTATATGTATATATATATATATATGTATATATATATATATATATATATATATATATATATATATATATATATATATATATATATATGTATATATATTAGTGATATGCGGGGTACCCGGTTTGGTCTTGGGGACCTGGTAGTTCAGCTGTTTTCCAAGATACCAGGAATCTGCCCTTTTAGTACCAGGTATCTGAAATATGAAAGAAAAAGTTTCTTATATATTTCAGATACCAGGTATCCAGGTATATGAAAGAAACTTTTAATAAACTTTAACCATAAGTACTGTAACTGTTTGTTTATATGGTACTTTAAATTGTGTCAAAATATTATTAACAGGATTGCTTTAAGTTTAAACTTCAACAAATAATTTTTTTGATATAAATCTAATAGTGTTATGAAGTCAATAAGCACAAAGCCCTATTTACTTAATATAGATGTGTCTCACTAAAAATATTTTTTGAAATATATTTTTGTAGAAAATAGACAAACAAAATAAAAATAATAATAATAATGACAAAAACTTTTAAACAAATAAAAAAAATGTATTTAATGTTTTATAGGTAATTTTTATTTAAAAAAAAATTGTGAAAAAGTTAAGAACCACAGAACAAAAACTGATAATTTTTACTTAATACTGCATAATTCTACCATGAATTTTTAAGCACTCATTTATACGATTTGGCATTGAGTCTATTAAATTCTCTAAAATATTTTTGGAAACATTTCCAAGTATTGTTGGTAAAATATTGCGCAACTCCTCAAGACTCCTTGGTGCTTTCTTGGCAATCTCTTTATCAAGCCAACTCCAAAGATTTTCAATGCAATTTAGATCAGGGCTATTTGGTGGCCAAGTTAAATGCTCAATATTTTTGCTTTCGAACCATATTGACTGGAGTCAATACTGGACTAGACAGCACCAACATGATGCTGTCACGCAGCACCATATTCCAACCAACTTGCTATCTTGTTTTGTTCTTTGAACAATACAATCGAAATGATATTCTTCTGAAGGCTGCCTGCGAATCATAATTTGGTTTTTTTGGTTATCAACCTCGATATTCATCTCATCACTGAACATTACTGTCCTCTGTTTTTGTTTAGACCATTCTTTAACGCTTTAGCAAAATTCTTTTTGCTTTTTTATATGTTGTTTAGAAAGTTGCCGTTTTAGAACAGCTTTTTTCCATAACATAAGTGATGCCGATGTTTGACGTTCATTTGAAAGCTTCCATTCTCTGCTTAATTCATGTGATGGCATGGTTCGATTTTTCTATGCCAACCTGATTAAAAGGCGATCATCATTGGATATTGTCAAACACAGTCTTCCAGAGCGATGGCGATCAACGTAAGGTTTCATCTCTTTGAATCTTTTGATACTTGTTAGCACCAACCTATGTGATTGCTTTATTATTTTTCCAATTTCACAAGCAGTTTTACCTTCCTGGTGAAAATGCCCCACTTTTATATGATCTTCATAGGTAATAGCTTTTCTGCTTTTCTGCTCATTTTTTCAAAAGAAAATAATTTATTTTTGTTTGAAATTAAAAACTTTTTTTTAATACTTTTATTGGTTTTTTGGTAATGACTTTTTGGTAATGACTTGGTCATTAATAAAATATTTAAACAAAAAAGCTAAAAATAAATTAAAAAAAAGACATTTTTGTCGCATTTAGCACAAAAAATTTTTTGTGGTTCTTAACTTTTTCACAAAAAAAAATAAATAATAAAGTTAACACATATTTAATTCTTATTTTTATAGGTTCTATTAATTAATTTAAATAAAAAAATGTCTTCTTTTTTCACATGTTCTATTTAATGTGTTTGAAAAAAAAGATTTTATCTTTAGAATAAAATTAATTTTATTTAAAAAAAATATTTTTTTTTATTTAGTAGTTCTTAACTTTTTCACAATACTGTATATAGATAAAGTTAAACCCCCCTCAATTTGAAGGGGTTATAGATTTTATATGGTCATAAAAAATAGTACAAAAAATGTTTTATCAACTTGTTGCCCCTCACATTTAGGGTAAGAGGTTTTGGATAAAGTTAAAGAGCTTTTTTGTATATATTATTTTGCTATCTCAAATACCAAAATATGCTTGATTTGTCGCTGTATGTTATTCCACATATTTATAAATAATATATATTAAATATATTGTATATAGTTGTTTATTAAAAAGAAACTTGATATTTTTAGGCAAACTTTATAAGTGCAAATTAATCAGCATTATTTTGTCAAAACAATTAAGCACTAGAGATTTTACAAGCTTTTATTCCAAACTTTTTAAAATGGATTCTGTGTCAGGTACCTGGACTTGGACCTAGTATTTTCTTCAGGGTACCTAGAATCAGGGACTCGGTATAAACTGGTTCTGACACATCTCTAATATATATATATACACACACATATAGTGCTCGGAGTAGAGAAAGAAAAGTACCAGGATGGTATTCGGTAAATTAAAAATACCATCCCTCTTAATTGTTGTATATAGAGATTTATAAAAAGGTAATGGAATGGTTAATACTTTACAAAAAGGTGACAGGATGGCATCTCGCTGCATCCTGGCCCACTTCAAGCCCTGTTTATATATATATATATATATATATATATATATATATATATATATATATATTTATATTTATATATATATATATATATATATATATATATATATATATATATATATATATATATATATATATATATATATATATATACAGGCCTCGGCGGGAACAAATGAGCACGAGAGCTGAGAAAAGCTCTCCTAAAACGAATTTGGGGAGCTGTGCGAGCTGCTCCTCATTTAAATTAGCACTCTTTTGTAATTTTAATTATACCTTCATGAGAAAAATTATACTTTAGCGAGAGCCGTAAATTGCTCCTGTAAACTGTTTTAGGGGAGTGTGGGCGAGAGCAAGAGCTAAAGCTCTCGCTTCCCGCGTGTATATATATATATATATATATATATATATATATATATATATATATATATATATATATATATATAATCTTGTGAACACTGCATAAAAAGAAGCTGTTACAATTCTTAAAAAACTACGAATTTTTGAAATACTTTATGAATACAAGTAATAGTTTTTTTAATATCGTTTATTTTCTCCATTAAAAATATTTAAAAAAATTTTCATTCAATATTTTAGAAAATGCATACATAAAAGGATGTTCAGTCTTGTTTTTATATTTTGTTGTCTATGTTAAAAGTATGGTGTCAAAGTATGTTTTGCAACTCAAATTTGTTGAAATTATTTTGTATATAAAGCAATTATAAAAATTAATTTTTCAATAGAATCAAAGAAGACGTGTTCACATTACTTTAGAATTACCTTGGAGTGCAGACAAAGCTATTCAACAATTTGGTAATATATCACATACTTTATTTTTTTATAATTGGGGACTCCATAGTTCAAGAGTGGTGTGAAATAAATAAAATGTGTTAAATGCATGAATATGTTCTGAAAATATTAATTTATTTTTTGTTAAAGAAAGAGATCTAAGCATTTATTTCCACAGTCACTGCCATTTAGCTCGTTACCTCTTAACCACTTAATAGTGTGTTGTTCAAACTTAGGACCCTAAATTAAGAGGTAAAGAAGTCTAAGTGTGCACCATCAATTATTTTTTATTTATAAAACCATTTCTGAAAGTTGTAAATAATTATTATTATAATAAAAACTAAAAGACCTGATTATTCTTTTGGTATGCATGGATTATCTTTTTCTGGATATTTCATGAATTCAGAATATTTTTCTCAACTTTTAATTTTTCTGGATATCCAAAACATTTTCTATACCTACAAGTTTAGGTGTATATTTTTGTAATATATTTGTTTTTTATGCTTTTTCACTCATACAAAAATTATAAAAAGTTAGGAAAAAAATTTCAAAACAACTCAGCTAAAAGCATAATTAAGAGGAAAATAAGGGAAATTATATTCCGAATATTTTACCTAAACATTTTCTGGATTTTTAAAATAGAACCTGAATGATATATGGGTATACCATTAAAATGATGCAATTTTAATTTTTCCTCTTACAAAAAATTTTTGAATTTGAAATGTGTTTTCTCAAAATTTTGGTTTTGGTTATATATTTGGTAATAAGATTTTATGAACTCTGGGCTTCTAAATTTTAGTTATGCTTTTTGATATTTTTACAATTAGTCAATATTATGTTAAATGAGCCAATAATAATAATCTCTAATAACAATTTTGGTGTTAAAAAATGCTTAATGCTTAATTTTTAATTTTTATCAGGTCGAAGTCATCGGTCTAACCAGGTTTCAGCTCCAGAGTATCTTTTTTTGATATCTGAACTTGCTGGTGAACAAAGATTTGCTTCAATTGTTGCAAAACGACTAGAGAGTTTGGTAAAAATATTTGTTTTTAAAAATAATAATAATAAAGAAAATTACTTGAAGTTTATTTTTTCTTTTTATATATTATGTTTTTGTTATATATATATATATATATATATATATATATATATATATATATATATATTATATATATATATATATATATATTATTTTATACAGTCCCTAACCAAATTATTAGATACACTAAAATTGTTCAATAATTGTATGCTTTGCAAGAGTTAATATAATAATATAATATACAATACTTTTCCATATTACATATAATACCTTCAGTTTTATTCTGAGCAGTTCAGTTTTATTTGAAGCAGTTGTTTATTTTGTGTGCAGTGTTTACATAATCAATAGAAACATTTTATTAAGGATTACATAGGCAATTTTTTACCACAAAAAAAATCAAAAGTAAAGACTTGTTAATTAAGTATTAACAAGTCTTTGCAATTAAGTATTTTTTTAAACTGCAAATTATTTCAAAGATCAAAGTTTTCCAAAGCTAGTGTACAACAAATAAGATAGAAATTGAGTTAGGGGACAAATTAAACATGAAATAAAAGAAAAGCTGGGACAGAATGTCTATTTTTGCTCTGGTATTTGAAAAAGTTGAAAGAATATTGCACTGAATAATGAAAATAAAGGATTTAGATTTTAAGGCCTGGAGGGCTGCCAGGAAGCTAACAGCGATAAAAACAAAGCATCTGAGCTGGGGCTGATAATGACTTAAAAACAGGAAATATGACACAAAAGTCTGTCATGTGAAAGGGTTAAAAAATTAGTGGCCCTAGGTACAATAAGCTTTTTTTAATTGCACCTAGGGCCACTAGCTATTGTATCTAGGGCTGCTCTTTGAAAGTTAGGTTTAGTTCCATAATAAATTGACAACAGAGATACGCACATTTATTTTGATTAAAAGTTTATTTAATCTTAGATCGTTTTCAACAAGTGTTCCTGTATCTTGTGTTCCCAAACAATCGCAAGAAGAAAAAAAATTCTGCACCAATAAAAATAAGGACCATATAGTTTGCTTGTACCCTAGGTACAAGCAAACTATATGGTCCTAGGTACAAGAAATGATAGCCTTATGAAAAATTTCATCTATTAATGAACCCTGGTTAAAAGGAAACTTATTGAACATTGTATTTAGTACTTAAGTAACAAACAAGATTCTTGTATATTAAACAAGAACTTTTCTATAAATTCTTGTATAATATACAAGAACTTATAGAAAAGCATTTCCTCTAGAATTGTAAAATAATCTAAGACACCAGTGGTAAAAACTTCCTTTAGACCATTATTCTGCCGCAGCAGAAGAGTGCTGCTACATGGACTGAGGCTGTGAGATGGAACAGCAATAATTTTTTTCAATGTTCTAACTTTTTTTCTTCTTTTTCTGAAAAAGCCATATGCTATAAAGCTAGTAAGCATATGCTTATCTAAACACTATATTAGGTGTGTATATATATTATACGTTGCAAATGCAATATATAAATTATCTGATCAAGCAAAGAGTTTGTATATTATTGGAGAATTAGAGAGTTCAATATACATTATCTCTTTAACTAGGGAGCTCTAACACATGGAGACAGAAGAGCAACTGAGTCAAGAGATTTGAGCAAGTACAACATTGATACCAAGGTTGGTTTTAAAAAAAAAATTAGAACAGTTGTTTGAGTTTAGATTTTTTAATTAAATTAATCTATCTGTCATGATTTTAGTATGGGCGGCAAGCTCTTGATATTGTTTTAAAGTCAGTAATTGGTCAAGAGAAACCAATAGTACCCAGTCCAACTGGCTACCATGGCAACTTTTTTGAAGGTTTTATAAATTTTTCTTTTACTAATTAAATTTTTAAATGTTCTAAAGTTCTACATTTTGTAGAAGATTTTAACAAAGTTTTATTTTAATGTAAGTTTTTAATTCACATTACTAATTTTCTAGATGTCAAGATTAGTTTGGTTGGCATTGGACTGATTCAGAAAGATGAACGAACAGGTTCTTGTACTTTAGCTGACAAAGGTATGGGTTTGAATTTTAAATACTTTTTTTTTTAACTATTTTTTTTTTTTTAACTATTTTTATATAAAAATATTTCTAAAAATAGAATTTTTAAAATTTAGATTGTACAAATATAAGTCGTTTCTTAAATCGAATACTTGGAATGTCTGTTTCCCTACAGAACAATTTGTTTCAATACTTTACTGACACTTTATCAGAAATTATTAAAGAAGCAAAAAGAAGTGGAAGATGGGATGAAGGAATTGTTGGTAGGCATCTTGAATTTTACTTTTATAAATATTTTGTAATATCATAAGTCTGTCTCCTAAAGCTATAGTTGTGCTTGATATCTGCTTGCATTTTTCTACTTGATAAGGGGGATCTTTCATGAAGAAAGGAGAGAAATATGAGACTTAGGGAGAAAAATAAAAACTTGCATGGTGGCGCAGCTTGCCATTTTGTAATTTTAAATTTTTTATTCCAAAGTGCTTTATTGGCTTTCTTTTTGGATTTATTGAACTTACTTTCTACTGTTGCAGGTTTTTTTTTAGTAATTGTGAATTCAGCTGTGTGTTATCTGACTGAGCTCTAGATATATTGCACTAAAATCTGAAAAAAAAATTAAAAACTTTATCTTGGTTTTTAATATCTAGCATATTTTTTAACATAAAAATTGAATACTTTTTTTCTAAAAGGGCTGATTAGTCAAAAATCCCATATCTTTTTCTCTGTAATTATCTTAAAACCTCCCTTAAACAAACATCTGATTCAGTTAAATCAAAATAGGCTGATGTCAATTCAGCCATAAAAAATGATATTCAAGTTTTTATAAAATTCACTAAAAAGATTTAACAAATATTGAAAGTAATATCTTTAATGTTTTTGACAAATTATCTATTGCTTACTTGTCCAACCTAATGACAGCATTTTTTTAAGTTTTATTTTATTGTATTGACCTCCTTAAAGCTACAGTAGCAATAACCTTAAGGCTGTGGTAGCGATACCCTTAAGGCTGCGGTAGTCATAACATAGCTGTCAAGTAAGCTACTTTTTTATTATTATCATTGCAACTCTCACTCAAACTTTCAAATTCTTGACAATATACACAAATCTTGTTTCTTTATGCATATGTGTATTGAGTAGTAGACAAAGCAAGTAGACTGTTTATTAAAAGCACAGTAGTATAGTGGTAATAGTGGTATATATATAAATAAGTAGACTGTATATTAAAAATACAGTTGGAGGTGAGGTGCTCTTACGCTGCCACCTTCTTTTTAATACACACTTCCCTCAACATATTTTTATTATCACCCAACATATTTTTATTATATTCTATAATCATATAATTCATAAATCTGGTATATGTAATTAATTAAACTTTATTATATTCTAGTATCCAGCCATATTTGAATAAAACCATGTTTGACACATCTTTTATCAAAATACAATCAAAAATATTTTAATATATCTACTAAAAATTTATATATATATTATTAAAATGAAATGTTCACTTAATTTGTTTTAGCAAATGTTTTTTAAAACATTCCTCTCAAAATGCTGTAACTAAATGATTTGTGTTTTTGATTTATGAATATTAAAAAAATTTTTTTAAATATTTTAAAACAAATATTAAAAAAAGCTATTATTATTTTTAGCGACCTAGCAGTGCAACATTATTTAATTGGTATCAAATTATTTTTATGATCAATTTTTTATTTAGACATTGGTTCTCAAGGTGAAGCTGTCGTTCAAGTTGATGTTCAGACATTTTTTTGTCCTTCAACATGTGGTGAAGTAACAACTGAACTTCGAACTGTATATAAAATTTTATCAAAAATATTAGTTTAAATTTTTAAATATATACTCTATCCTTTTAAAAAAAATTTTTATGTTTAAAAACAGGTTAGTGTTGAAAGAGGCTTGTCATTTTCAAAAGCTGTGGAAATGAATGCAAAATCCCATGATCCAAATGAAGGATTTTATATTTCAAAACAAGTATGCTTCTTTTTTTTGCTCAATTTTAGTTTCCGTTTGCATATGAAATAAGAGTTTGGTCTTTTAAATTAAGTTTTTGTAAAGTTTTGAATCAACTTGCTAGCTTTCTAATAATACACATGAAATAAAGATGTGAATAAAAACTGTGATTAAAAATAATAAAATGGTTATATAAATTTTCTTTTTTTATAATTATTTTGTAATTGTTTTGTATAGTTTTAAAAATAATTTTTAATAATAGCATTTTAATTTTGTGACTTTTTTTTTAATAACTCAGCTTAGAAATGGTAAAAATACAGCAGCACTTGTTCTCAAACCTCACGGAAAACTTCTCTACGCAATATATAGACCAAACATTGGACTTGCTCAAAAGTTTGAATCCTTAGAAGATATACAAAACAAATATGAAAAGGTATAGTATCAAATTAGATTATTTAGAACACGTAACTATTTTGTCCTTATTAAAATTTGAATTTCTGTATTTTGATTTTACATTTTTTTGTCACAGGTAAAACCAAGTGATGTTGAAGTCATATGGAATGAGCAATATGAATACTCTGAAAAAAATTGCTCTCACGCCTTTTTGTAAGTTTCTTTTTATTATAACGCTATTTTAGGTGATTGTAATTGTAATAAATCAATTTAATAATATGAAAAAAAATTAATCATTAAATCAAGAAATATTAAAACAGTTAACTTAAAAAAGAATATTTTGCATTTTAAATCATCTGCAAAAAATATTACACATTTTAAAATAATAGAATATAACATCAATTGAATTAATGTCGGGTTATCCACGGAACTTTTTCTTTTTCAAAAATCTTTTTTGAAACTGTTTTACAATAATTACTGCTCTCATTCCCAACTACATGTTATTGATAAACACTGATTCTTATCTTGTTGGCAACAGTTTTTTTTCTAAATTATTTATAAAATATAATCTTATTCTTTAATGTGAGTCATATCTTTTTGTATTGCAAAATGAGCAATCCATTCCATTTTGAAAAGTTTTTTTTTTAGCAAACAATACACAGATTGTTCAAGGAGCAAGTTAAGCAATTGTTAATTTTGATGTCTGAAAAGATTTTGTTACTCACATTTATGTCTATTAAAGATCTTAAATGTTGTTTTTATGCAAATGCCAAGTTGATTTAAATTTATCAGATCACAAAAAATCTTCGAAAAGAAAAACTAAATTTATAACAACAAAAGTAATAATTATCACTAGCACACTCATAACATACATACTTTTACTTGTTTACATGTACATTATTTTTAATACAGTATTAAAACTTTATTTAGACTTGTTAAACTGCTCATTTTTTTGTTAGAGATAAACCCCACTTTTTAGTTTTATATAACACGAAAGCACTAAAAAATAATAAAGTTAATAAGCTTTCCATATTTTTGGGAGGAATGTAGAAATCTGATTTTATAGAATTATAATAATAGTCTGTTTGAAAAAAAGAAGGTTTCTTGCAGGTTTCTTCAAAACCTAAAAATAAAAAAAAATAAAAAATATAAAATCATGTTATATTATTAAATATTAAATTATATTATTTCTCCTGAAGAAGCAAACATGCCATTCATATTATTGTATAATTAGATATTGTATCTTACATTATTGTACAATTAGATATTGTCTTTTACATTATAATATGTTTTAAGTTGTTTGTTTTGTATTGAAAAATATCCTACAATCTTTTTCATTCATGATGTGAAAAGTTCCTGATTTAGTAAGATTTAAATCACTGAATCAGTTATCCAGTTCAATCTAAGTCGGAAAGTCTTGATAAATTAATTATATAAACTGTAATGTCTTGATAAATTAAGTATATAAAGTAAATAAGTTGCAAATTGTCAAACTACTCACATTTGATGGTGGCAACGGCACTATTGGCGTTGGTAGGCTGTCATCTTTCTGCAACTAAAAATTGCTTGTCTTTTTTGCTAAATTTATCCACAAATTTGTATATAAGTTTGTTGCTTACACTGGCACAAACTATGAGGTATAATACTTGTTACCAGATTTTGACTGTCGCATTATATCTGAATCTTGTCGTCGATCAAAATGCAGCCATTTAATTTTGTCATAACTGTTAATTTAAAGCGGTTAGTTTACGTCAAATATTACTTGACCATTTTCTTTGCTACTTCTAACATTGTTTTGTTCATTAAATCAAGTCAATTTTTTCACTTCCACGAATTGTAAGACTTGCTGTTAACATGTGGTAACTAAAAGTTATCATATGTTGTTAAAAACATTAAAATAATAACAATAAATAGTTATCACATGTTATTAATAACATGCGATAACTATAAGTTTACGCATAATAGTACAAACTTTAGATCTAAGAATATTGAAAGGTGCACGAGAAAAACTGCAAACTGAAAATCTAGATTATGATGAGATGTACACAAGAGTCTCAATGAACACATTTAGAGTCTTGGTTCAAGACAGAACGTGTACATCGGCTAGCTGTCGCAATATTCACAATTGCGGAAACTGTCCGCCGTCGTGGAATGAAAAATATAGTTTTATTATATTTTTATTATTATTATATTTTATATTTTTATATAGACTCTTGATATTATAATAGTTTAATAAAATGGTTATTCCGTTTGAAAAGTATAATTTTCAATTTTTTTGATGTTTTTAGCCATCACATGTTACTCTAAGAGAATCATAATTTGATTATTTTTACACGTGCACTTTTTTTCTATATACATAGTAAAGTTATGTTTATTTACAGTAAAAATAACCTTTTTTTTTTTTTTTTTTTTTCAAAAGACGTGGATACTGCAAACGAAAAATAGTCGGACTTCCTTGTGAGGTCGGCACGCGAAAACGTACTTGTTATATTTTATGTGGTTCAGTATTGAGTGTATGGTCTAAAGTTGAAACTTTGCTTTCGTGTCAGCCTGGATCTGCCTCAAAAATGCAAATAATTAGGCTAAAACTTGATAATGGTGTCAAACTCGTTGGTATGTTTTATATGTATAAACAAATAAAAGAATTACTAATAATATAATTTTATTATTTAAATAATATTTGTCATATTTCTATGGAAAATTTTATTAACAAACAATACAGATACTAAGAGTTCAAGAAAATGTTAGATTGGCACCCATTAAATTGATAGAAACAAGTCAAATACAAAATTTTAGTTCAGTTTTTAAATTTAAAAAAATCCGTTTCCGTTTACTTTTTTTACTCCAAAAAATCCATTAGGTTTTTTAATAGGTTGAAACTGTCTCTTATTCAAGAAATATAACAAATATTAGATAAATACTTTAAATCGATGTTGCTCTTAAAACATTATAGTTATATTATTGATGGTAAATTTACATTTTTTTTATAGGCATGTCTATACCCAGCAATTGTGTCGAACCACTTATTCGTGTTTTGTCCTCCGATCTTCGAGTTGAACGAAAAAGACCTGATTATTAGTCACCTTTCACCCGTGTTTTTTTTCTTTGATCGTTTAAACAAAGAAAATGTTCAAGGGTGGTTTTAATGATTTTATTTTCATATTTTTTTATAAAATTACTTCCATTTAAAAATGGTTATGTCTATTTTTTAACGACAAAATATACATTTTAGTGTAGAGATATTGTAAAATTTTCTTATAAAATTTATATAAATTTTTGTTTGCTTTTAGTTTTTATGTTTGTTTTTTTAATATTAGAATTTTAGAAATCATTAGAGACCGTTTCTGCGATTAGTTTTTATTATATGCATATTATTAGATGCTTATCTTTAACGTTATCTCTTAGGATGATAAACAAGAATTGTACCATACAAACGACAAGTATAAGGTTCTACCCCTCTTATTGAACGTAGCGATCACGGTTAATAAGGTTTAGGAGAAGAATTCACACTTATGAAATTTTTTCATAACAACTTATGACACCTTGTCATACACCGATTTTCTTTTTCCGGATATATCCGGAATTTCGTATGTTTCTTTCAACTTTGATGTTAAAGGCGGATATCCACAAGACGAAAAAATTCGCTTCGCGCGAATATTTTCGTCTTGTGGAAATCCGCCTTTAACATCTTAAGGCTCGAAATCGAAAGAAAACGTTAAAATATTCTTACAAAATGTTTGTAAAAATATAATCATGCTAAAACGCCTCTTACCAGTGTTCTCTAAAGTTTATGAAAAAGTAATATACAATCGAATTTATAATTACTT